CAAGGCGCGCTACGTGGCTAGGGGTTTCAGTCAGCGTGAGGGAGTTGACTTCTTCCAGAACTTCGCCCCGACCCCGAAGATGACTACTCTTCGGGTGTTACTGCACGTAGCAGCACAGCGAGACTACGAGCTGCACTCCCTTGACTTCTCTACTGCGTTTCTCCAGGGCCGACTACACGAGGAGATCTGGCTGCGCCGCCCTCCTGGCTTCACTGACACCTTCCCACCTGGGACGCAGTGGAGCCTGAGACGGCCAGTCTACGGTCTCCACCAGTCGCCCCGTGAGTGGCACGACACTCTTCGCTCCACGCTTCGTGACCTTGGGTTTTGTCCTTCCTCTGCCGACCCGTCGCTGTTTGTTCGCACTGGTTCCACTCCTTTCTTTATACTAGTGTACGTCGACGACTTGGTCTTTGCCACAGCAGACAGGGCAGCTCTGGCTCAGGTGAAGTCCGAACTGCAGAAGAGACACACGTGCACTGACCTAGGTGAACTGCAGCGCTACCTTGGCCTGCAGATCACTAGGGACAGAGCCGCTCGCACCATCACATTGACTCAGTCACACATGGTGCAGCAGGTCCTTCGGCGGTTCGACTTCCAGTTCTCCACCACACAGCCCACACCTCTTGCTGTTGACCACAGACTCACTGGCCCCTTTCCCGACGAGCCTTTTGAGCCCAGTGGTCCCTACGCAGAGCTGGTGGGCTGCCTCATGTACCTGATGACTTGTACTCGGCCGGACCTCGCCTTTCCCCTCAGCGTCCTCTCTCGCTTTGTTGCGACTGGGAGACACCGTCCTGTCCACTGGACAGCTGCTGTGAGGGTGGCGAAGTACCTGGCGACTACATCAGGCATGGGGCTTGTGCTTGGAGGGACTCAGCCAGTGGCGTTGACTGGTCACTGCGACTCTTCCTACGCTGACGACGTGGAGACTCAGCGCTCGACTCAGGGTTACTGCTTCAGTCTGGGAGCTGGTGCTGTGTCGTGGAGGTCTACACGGTCGTCGTCTGTGGCTACTTCCAGTGCAGAGGCAGAGATCTACGCTGGTGCCATTGCGGCACAGGAGCTTCGCTGGTTGACCTTCTTGCTTGCCGACCTTGGTGAGCGGCCACACTCTGCACCGACCTTGTACGCTGACAACAAGGCCATGATCCTCCTGTGTCGAGAGCCTCGACTGGAGAGCAGAGTGAAACATATTGACGTGAGGTACTTCCTCCTGCGAGAGCTGCAGCGACGCGGCCAGGCACGCCTGGACTTTGTGGCCTCAGAGGCCAACACTGCAGACGTCTTCACCAAGGCCTTGGCGCTTGGTGATCACCACAGGTTTTGTGTGCAGTTGGGGCTTGTTGAGGTAGGCCCTCGGTTGCTGTAGTCTTGTTGCTTGCTCTGCTTGTTGTGTTTTCATATATATATCCTAGTGAACTCTTGAACTGGCCTTGTGGCCGCTTGCTTGCGCTCGGAATTTGTGTGGTGTCCTTGAGATCCACCCTGAGCTTGCCTTGTTTCTTGCTTTGACTGGTCTTGTGACTGTTTGTTCACCATGCTTGCTTTGATGCCCCTCACTTAGCCTACGGGGGTGTGTCAAATGTTGTTATTGGTTGTAGGCTGCAGTGAGTAGCACTCTAAGGAGTACAACACTCTTAGGGTTTCTATTTGTATGCCTTGCTCTCCTAAGTCAAACATTCCGTTGCATTCACTTTCTGAGAATACGGTACTCATGCTGCGATGCGAGAGCCCTAGTCAATTGAGCCGTCATTATAATCGAAGGAAACAGCAAGGGGAGGACGCTCTGGCTTGCATCACTTTGTCTCCTTCCACACCGTTGTGTTTCAGACTAATCCGTTTCTTCTTCTGCTCGTCCTGCTCAAACCGCTGGTGCTGATGTTGCTGCTGGTCCTGGTGGTGCTGCTGATGCTGCTGTTGCTGATGGAGCTGGCGCTGCTGCTGCTGCTGATACTGTTCCTGTGGCTGCTGCTGCTGGTGATGGTGCAAATGTCGCTGCTGCTGCTGCTGCTGCTGGTTCCCCTCAGTATGCGTTTCTTCGTCCTGCATTCGTCGCTGCAGCATCTGCTGCCCTCTTTCGTGAGGGCCTTGGATCATCAGGTGCTGCTGCCTCTCTTGGTTCTCTTGGCTTTGCGCTGCTTCTTCTTGTCGCTGCTGCTCATTCTGCCGTCTCGCTTGCAGCCCCTGCGATACAGTCACCTGTTGATGCTGCTGCTGCTGTTGCTGCTGCTGCTGCTGCTGCTGTTGCTGCTGCTGCTGCATCATCATCATATGGTGCCGTTGCTCATAAGCCATCAGCTGCTGCTGTAGCACCTCTACCTGCTTCTTCCAGGAACCATCCTCACCCTGCTTGTCAGACAAGTCATTTCTCTGGCTTTGCTGCCCGTTCTCTCTCGACCAATCCTGTCGCGACAAACCTCCCTCTCGTAAATCCAGTTGGTGCGAACCTCCCCCCGATGATTCATGCTCTCTTTTCTGTTCCCTCCACAAACCCTCCCCACCTTCCTCATTCATACCCCTCATCTGCCGCTCCTCTTTCTCTACCCCTTCTTTCATGCCCATTCCCCTTCCATCCTCCTTCTCCCTTATCCTCTCTCCCCTCCCCTCTACTACCCCTACACCATCTCCCCCCACCCCACGCCAATCTCTTACTCCCCCATTCCCCCTTTCAAAATCCTGGTCCCTCCTCCAAAACCGCCCCTGCAAATGCCCAGTCACACCTCCCCCTCTTTCCCCATCCGTTCTCCCCTCTACATTCTGCGAAGTTTCAAAGCCGGAACCCAAACTCTTCCCCAGATCAATAATACCCCTGCTTGTGACTCTATCCCCCGACTCCCAATGCTGATTGCATGTGTCACCACCAAACGCCCCTCTGCTGCCCTCTTCAAGCCCAGCGGCTCTCCCATACTCGTTAGTAGCACACTCGTTGTTATTGCGGGCTGGCTGATGGAAAACACTGCAGTTCTCACCACTCCTAAAGCCGTGTCTCACATCGTTCGGCTGGAATTGCACCTCCTTGCCATTCTCTCTGATGTAACCCATTCCTGGATGGTTTGCTGCTGCAGAAGCAGCACCAGCAGCAGCAGAACCGGCAGCAGTGGCAGCAGCGGCGGAAGCAGGAGTGGCAGCAGCAACAGGTGCAGTGGCAGCAGCAGCAGCAGCAGGTGCAGTGCTTGCTTTAGCCGCGTCAGTGCCACACAACAGCTTCAGAGGAGTAGGACGAACGGCAGGGTCTGGGGGAAATACAGGGAATGCAGAGAAGTTAATGCCTGCTACTGCACTGTCAGAGGCAGCTACATCATACGAAGCACCAGCAACAGCAGCAACCCCGTTAGAAGCTGCTTCTTTATAAGCAGCAGCGTCGTTGACGCTGCCACTGCCATCAGCAGCAGCACCGGAAGCAGCCGCAGAAGCACGATTGGATGCAGTGAGGCTCACACCGAACAGAGCAGCGGGCGCAGCAGCAGCAGCAGCAGCAGGAGGTGAGAGGGGGGACGGAACGGGTGGGAAGAGGGGTTGGGGTTCAGTCCCAGGGTCAACCCTTGGTGGGTAAGTGTGAGATGGTAGTGGTGGTTGGTACTTGATCTCTGCTGCAGCTACTGCAGCTGCTGCTGCTGCAACGGCTGCTGAAGTGTGTGGTGGTTGGAGAGTGTTGGGAGGAGGGGAGGCAGGAGGAGGGATGAAGGAATGGTCGGGTGGGCTTTGATAGGCTGGCTGGAAGAATCGATGAGTTGCTGCTGCTGCTGGTGCTGGCGCTGCTGCTGGCGCTGGTGCTGGTGCTGGTGCTGGTGCTGACGTTGCTGGTGGTACTGTTGCTGTTTCAGTGCTGCTGGTGCCGAGGGAACGACACATGGATTAGGGGTAGGGAAAGTAGAGAAGGGTAAGTGTGGTGTAATATATATAACAATACACGCACAATACATTATAGTAGATGCGCAATACAGTAACGAGTAATACATGCAATAATGGTGCAATTTTAAGAGACTCACCTCCTGGACTCAACCATCAAAAGGACGCGCTCCAATAGGCCCCTTAAAGCCCGCATCTCTTCGCTGACGTCGGCAGCATGGGCTCTGACGTCAGCAGCATGCGCCAGCCAATCCCTGCGCAGAAGCTGAAAGTCGGCCTGGACGGCCTTTCCTTGCTCCCGAACCTCCGCTATTTCCCGAAGCAGAGCTGCCGAATCTCCCACCGAACCTAACCCTGAACCTCGTGTTCGACCCTCCCCATTCCAGCGATCTCCTTCCCCTGTCTCTCTCCCTCCTCCTACCCTCTCTCCTCCTACTCCCCCTCCTTGCTCTCCTCGCTCTCCTCGTCTCCTTTCTGGTAATTCCACGCCTCCTCCCCACTCCCCACTCTTCACCCCTTCCTCCTCCTCTCCCTTCCCTGCCTGCCCAATCATCCCATTACTCAATCCGGAATCAAATCCAATCCCAGATTGACCTCTTCTCGGCATCTCTCGCTCCCCACGCACACTCCCTCCCCCTCCTCCGCTCTCTCCTCCTCTCATCCCCCCTCTTTCCCCTCCATATCCCCTATCCCTATACCCGAAACTGTCAGGGGCAGAAGGGGCAGAAGAGGCAGCAGGGGAAGAAGGAGGAGCAGCAGCAGCGGCAGAGATCAAAGCGGCAACTGCTCCCATCACTTCCCCACCTTCTACACCCACACTCAATCCATTACCTCCTCTCCCCGTCCCCCTACTCCCCTTACCCGCCTGTCTCCCACCAAGACTCCCAGAAGGAGATGCGTTCACAGCAGCTGCTGCTGCTGCTGCCGCCGCCGCCGCTGCAGCAGCTGTGGAATCAGAACCAGCAGCACCAGCAGTGCCAGCACCAGCAGAGGCAGCAGCAGCGGCGGCGGCGGCAGCAGCAGCGCTGGCGGCAGCGTTGGCCGCAGCCGTGTCGGCGGCACAGGAAGGGAAGAGGGGAGAGGGGAGGGGGAGGGCATGGGCAGCACTGTTGCTGGAGAGAAAGAAGGGGGAGGAGGCGAAGGAGGTATTACCCATCGTTGACCGTTGCTTGCTGCCATGTGGGGGAGGGGGTGGTGGAGACGAGTGGGTTGAGAGGGGGAAAGGTGGGGACAACGGGGGACGGGGAAAGCAGGGAGAGCAGGGAGGAGAGAGAGGTGTAAGTTACAAGCGCTGATTGTTGATGAGAGAAGTTGGAGAGGAGCGAGAGGGAAAGAGGAACTGGGGAGAGAAGGAAATAAGCAATTGCTCGGGTTTGTCACAAGGAATGGGGGAGGGAAGAAGGAAGGGGCGGGGAAAGAGAGACATAAGCAATTGCTCGGGTTTGTCAGAAGAAACGGGGTAGGGAGGAGGGGAGGGAGAGGGGACAGGAAAGCGTTGAGAGAGGGGAATAAGCAATTGGCTCAGGTTTGTCAGAAGGAATGGGGAAGGGGGGAGGGGAGGGACGGGTGGGGGGAGCAGGGGTTCGAGTTTGAAGGTTTACAAAAGCAACGGGCACCACACCACAACCCACTACACCACACCCCACCACACCCCACCACACCCCACCACACCCCAACCCACCCTACCACACCCGACCGCACCGCACCGCACCATCGTACCTCTTCTCAGCCTCTTCAGCAGCGGAGTAAGAGACACAGTACTTGGCCACCGTCCTCAGGAGATCAAACGGGCCCGGAAATATCACTTCCCCTCCCCCTCCCCCTCCCCCTCCTCCTCCGCCTCCGCCCTCTTTTTCCGCCTCCCCCTCTCCCGTCCCAACCCCCGGCACACTTGCATCTCCCTTCTCCTCAACCCCTCCCTTGGAACCTTCAGAAGCAGCACCAGCAGCAGCAGAACCATCCACACCACTGGCAGCAGCAACAGAAGGAGTAGGAGAAGCAGCAGAGGCAGCAGGCGCAGCATCCCCTTCAGTCTGAGGCTTGAGAAGCTGCCAGTACGAGGACACGCGCAGAGCCGCCTCTAGCTTCGCAAAGAAGGGCGTCTGGAAAAGGGCGGGGGGCGAGAGGGTAACTGGGATTTGAGTTTACTCGAGACCCGGTCTGTGGCTTGAGCAGCTGCCAGTAGGAGGACACGCGCAGAGCCGCCTCTAGCTTCGCAAAGAAGGGCGTCTGGCGAGAGGGCGAAAGGGGTGAGGGGTGAATGGCGAGGGGCGAAAAGAGCGAGGGGGTAGGGAGGTATTGAGATTGGGATTGAATATTAAGTTGTCTCAAGACCCAGATTACTGTTTGAGTAGCTGCCAGTATGAGGAGACGCGCAGAGCCGCCTCTAGCGAGAGGGCGAGAAGGGCGAGAGGGAGGAGAGGGGCAAGAGGACAGGGATGAAGCAGTGTGGGGGTTGGGATTTGAGTTTCCTTCAAGGCTTGGTCTGCGGCTTTAGCAGCTGCCAGTAGGAGGAGACGCGCTTAGCTTGAGAGTTGCAGTAGGAAAGGGATAGACTTTTGAGACGTCTCACAACAACTCCCCTCACTCTCTCACCTTTCTGAGGTTCAATTTGAGAGCTATGGCGTTGCACACACACAATGGGCATGAGAATGACATAAAGAGAGCCGGATACGAGATTGGGATGGCAGAACGGGGTTCAAAGTGGTAGAATGGGGTTGAGAGTGGCTGAACGAGGCTGGGAGCGGTTGAGACCCACCTTTCTGAGATTCTCTTTGAGAGCCATGGCGTTGTACATGATGGGCACGAGAATAAAGGTGGGAGTCGGTGAGAGTGGGTGAGCGTGGGTGAGAGTGGGTGAGCGTGGGTGAGCGTGGGTGAGAGTGGGTGAGCGTGGGTGAGAGTGGGTGAGCGTGGGTGAGAGTGGGTGAGCGTGGGTGAGAGTGGGTGACATTCACCTTCCTAAGGTTCTCTTTAAGAGCCATGGCGTTGTAGACAATGGGCACGAGAATGAGACGCAGGTGGCCCTGAGGGGTGTTCTCCTCGCCCAGCATCTTGCGCACCAACACCTTCACCTGTACGGCGCACAAGAATGCGCCAGTAGAACAAGCACACATAGGGGGAGCACAGGTGGGGGGAGCACAGGAGACCATTGCGATGAGTGGCCCTGGGGGGTGTTCTCCTCGCCCAGCATCTTGCGCACCAACACCTTCACCTGCTCGGGTGCGGCGAGGGGAGCAGCATGTGAGCACAGGTAAGGAGAGCACAGGAGAGCAGCAGCACAGGCACGGTCCTAAGGCATCTTGCGCACCAACACCTTTCCCGTTTCCTCGTCTCACCTCGTGCGGGCTCTCGAATGCCCAGCGCCAGTACAGGAAGCCCTGCGCAGCGCGGGCGGCCTTCCCTCTCTCCCTCCCCCACCCACCTTACCATCCCCACCACACTCCACACCGCCCTACTCCATCCCACCCTCTCACCTCATGCGGGCTCTCAAACGCCCAGCGCCAGTACAGGAAGCCCGGCAGCAGCACATGCACGCATCGTCTTGCTCCCTCACCCTCCCCCAACCGCCCTGGCATCCCCATCGCCCCCCACCCCTCCCTACTCCCACCCAACCACCCACCCACCCACCCACCCACCCACCCACCCACCCACCCACCCACCCACCCACCCACCCACCCACCCACCCACCCACCCACCCACCCACCCACCCACCCACCCACCCACCCACCCACCCACCCACCCACCCACCTTTTGCGGGCTCTCAAACGCCCAGCGCCAGTACAGGAAGCCCTGCAGCAGCCCATGCACACATCAACAGACCTTCCCCATCCCAACCGCTCTCCACTCCCCCACACACCCCCGCACCTACCTCGTGCGGGCTCTCAAACGCCCAGCGCCAGTACAGGAAGCCCTGCAGCAGGGCGGGCGGGGACGGCAGCGCGGAGGCGGCGGCGGCGGAGGCGGCGAGGTCGGGCGAGATGGTAACCAGACGGTGCTTCAGCGACGAGAGCTTGCGACTGTAATTGGCCTCAAACATTTTCTGATTGGTAGTCGGGGGCGGGGAGAAGGGGGAGGGGAGGAGAAAAGGAAAGGAGAAAAGGAAGGAAACGGGGGAAGAGAGGGGGGAGGAGACAGGGGAGGAGAGTGGGGAGTGGAGAAGGGGAGATGTGAGCAACGCAGCAGTGGGGCAGAGGCGAGGTCGGGCGAGATGGTAACCAGACGGTGCTTCAGCGAGGAGAGCTTGCGGCTGTAGTTGGCCTCAAACATTTTCTCATGGGCGAAGGTGGGGGAAGGGGAGGAAAGGGGAGAGGGCCGAGGGGAGGAAGAGGTGAGGTGAGTGGGGATGGAGAAAGGGGAGAACTTCTTGAAGTGAGTGGGATGGAGAAAGGGGAGAAGTGAGTGGGGTGGCAGCAACGGTCCGGGAGGCGGCGAGGACGGGCGAGATGGCGAAGAGGCGGTGCTTGAGGGACGAGAGCTTGCGACTGTAATCGGCCTCAAACATTTTCTGACGGGTGGTAGAGGGAGAGATGGGAAGAAGAGAGGGGGAGGAGAAAGGGGGGAAGTTAGTGGATGGCGGCGGCAAAAGCGGCGAGACGGTGACGAGACGGTGACGACGCGGTGACGAGGCGGTGCTTGAGCGTGGAGAGCTTGTGACTGTAGTTGGCCGAGGAGACGGGGAGAGAGGGCGGAGGGCGGAGCACCATGGCTCACGCGCATGTGGATGAGCGGCATCAATACGTCCCCCGTCTCCGGCAGCAGCAGCAGGTCTCTCCTGGTCTTCCAGCAGAAGGTACCGCTCCGTGGGGCTCACAGTCAGCCACAGCGCGCCAAGCAAGCAAGTGAGAGACGCACTCACTGGATCACGAGACATGACTGTGAGTCACAGAGTGAGTTACCCATAAGCTGCACGTCTGTGCACGCATGGGCTGCACTCACGCGCATATGAATGAGCGGCATGAGCACGTCCCCCGTCTCCTGGTCCTCCAGCAGAAGGTATCGCTCCGTGGGGCTCACAGTCAGCCACAGCGCGCCATGCAAGTGAGACGCACTCATTCGAAGCACTCATGACTGTGAGTTACCCATAAGCCGCACTCACGCGCATGTGGATGAGTGGCATGAGCACGTCTCCCGTCTCTTGGTCTTCCAATAGAAGGTACCGCTCCGTGGGGCTCACAGTCAGCCACAGCGCGCGCACATGCAGTCCCCCCGCCGCCTGCTGCTGCTGCTGCTGCTGCTGCTGCCGCGGCTGCTGTTGCTGCGCCGCCATCCCCGCGGCTTGACGTTGTTGCGCCGCCGCCTGCTGTTGCGCCGCCTGCCGTTGCGCCGCTTGCTGTTGCGACGCCGCCCGTTGTTGCGCCGCTTGCTGTTGCGCCGCCGCCCGTTGTTGCGCCGCAAGCGCCGGCGGCGGCGCCAATGCTACCAGCGCCGCCGCCGCTGCTGACGCTGCTGTCGGCGGAGTCGGCGGACGGCCCTGCAGCGCCGACGGCGCCGTCTTTGGCGGCGGCAATTGCGGAGGGGAGAGCCCAGAAGATTCGAGCTTCCTCCGCGACGCACCGGCGGAACTTCCGCCGCTTATGCTTCCGCCTCCGCCTGCGCCGCCGCTGCCTGCGCCGCTTCCCTCCAGCGCATCTTCTGCACGCCTCTTTGTCCCCGCCGCCGCAGCCGCCGCCGCCGACGCCGCCGCTTCAGCTGTGCCGAAAGGTGGAAGCTTCGCGAAGCCGGTCGGGAAACTCATGGCGATTGAATCTTGGAACTTTTGGAGACGCAGAAATTTATTCCCTTATCGTCGGCGTCGCGAAAGCTGGGAAAAGGCGATTCGAGGTGACCGCGGCGCTGCCTTTCGCCGCGCCTCAGAGAGTTCAGGTACCTGGTTGAAAAGGTCGGGCTTTGTAGGTGACTTTTGAGTCGACTCAAAAGTCACCGCGCCTCGGAGTTCAGGTAACCTGACTGAAAAGGTCGGGCTTTGTGAAGCCCCCCTCTTGAAACTGCCAAGCTCGACACTCGAAAAGCGTGGAGTCGCTTAGAGATCCGTCGATCACCTAATCTTAGAAAATTCAATCAATAATCAGTGAGATTGAAGTGATCACGTGCAAGACGCCTCAAAGCCAATGAGCGTCTCCTTCGCTCTACCGCTATTCTCAAGCATGATCATCCCGAGGACGCTTTGGACTACTAAGGGGGTGGCTAACGCCTCACGCCGGCAAGCGGTCGGCGGCTGGGAGGCTTGCGTGACCGTACTCAGGAGTTACACGCCGTACCGCGTTAAGCTTCCAGTTTTCACAACTTTCCTGTTGTGTTTCTAACTTTCACAAATTCGCTGGCAGCGAAAGTGCTCTCAGGACCCCTACAGGCTGCGACTCATTTGCTTTCGCGGGAGACGTATAAGAGATACAGCGTGGGTAGCACCAGCCAGTTTATGCTAACTAACGATTATCCGCCAGCTAGTAGCTAGATTCGCCAGCTCAAATTCCCTAGAACTACTGGAAGGCCTTTTTTGGCGAGAAATGTGAAACTCGGATGACAATTCAACTCGGGAAAGCAGAAAAGATTGGACACCGCCAAAATGAGTTTCTGGCTGGGCTAGATCCAGGCGAAGCAGAGGGGGATGCTTCACTTGTTAGCTTCACTAACCGGATGCTTCACTTGTTAGCTCCACTAACCGGATGCTTCACTTGTACAGAGGGGGATGACAGTTCGTAATGCCATCATGGACGGACGAGCCCCGTGATTGAGCAGCGGAAGATACCGCCAATGGAGGAACAATCAGCGACATTACCACCGCTGAAAGTTGAGGACCCACGCGCCTTCACCGCACAGAACTCAGATTCTAGAACCTGTGATGTGATGTGAGTGGAACTACAGGGGGCCAGTGGCTCTCAATTCCCTCGAACCTATCATCTACAGTGTATCTGAGGGCGTGTCTGAAGTGAATTTCGACGTTTGCCGACGAAACTTTCGTCGACGTTCCTTGACGAAACTCGACATCCGTTTTCAGCTGTGTTCACTTCAGACACCCACACGACAAAATAACCCACACGTGCCATAGGAACACTGTTATAAGTTGCCCATGAAAATTCGACGTGGAATTAACAGAATCATTCATGTAACTCAATTGTTTGCAATCTCGCGAATTTCGCTTAGCATAGATTGTTGCTGGTAACACCGGATATTCTACTGTCACATTGCCTGCGAAATTTCTCTAGCACGTGTCGCTCTCGTCTTAGTTCTTATTCACGTGTGTTTGCCACAGCTATGCAGACATGGCGTGTCGAAGAATTGTTTTTGAAACACTCACTGACTACAGTGACTCAAACAGCTGCCCGGTATCACTGTTCGACATCCCTCGACATGTGCACGAACGTCGAGTTTCGTCGAGGGATGTCAGTTTGCACTTCAGACACCAACACGCGTGGGTCCCACGGATGAGTTTCGTCGACGAAATTTGACGAAACTCGACGTTTGCACTTCAGACACGCCCTGAGTCATTTCCCTCCCGTAAAACTCGCTGTCAGGGGTTGCGCTTGCGCGTTGTGCCCTCTAGACAAGGCACGCTGCAGCATCGCTGCCACACGAATCATCTCGAAAGATTCACCTTCCGTTTGCTGCTAGAGCTGCAGATGCACTGTACGTACGTACAGAATTGCGGAGGTTGGGGATGTTTGTGAAGGGGAGCATCCCAATCAGGGCTGTCGCCTGAATTTAGCAGGCTAAATTCAGCCTGCTAATTTAGCAGGCTAATTTCCGGGTTGATACAAATTTCAATTCTTAGATTCAGGGCTACACATCGTGAAAGTACGTTGATGTTCAATTATACCTAAGGGCGGAGGAGGTCCACAGCAGATATATAGGGCGATCTACAGCAGGATGGGGTGGGAGAAGGTAGGGGACTTCTATGTAAGCAGGGGAGGAAAAACAAGGTGTAGGGGTGTCGGTGAGGGCTTTGAACGTATACGTGAAATCCGGGTTAGGCGCTAAACCAGCCCGTAAGGGAAACGGGCTGGCCTCAAATCCAACCCTTGAATTCTCTGAGATGGGCCCGAACCAGCACTTGAATTCACTGGTAAAAAGGGAAACGGGCTGGCCTCAAATCCAACCCTTGAATTCTCTGAGATGGGCCCGAACCAGCACTTGAATTCACTGGTAAAAAGGGAAACGTCCCTTGATTGGTCCTACCGGTCCCGTCCCTATCACCCTGCACGTGATGGCCCACCAGCTCGTGGCTAGCCTGACATATGAATTCAACGGGATGGTTTTGATATGGTCATTGTTTGAGCGAACACGGAGTTTATTGAGCTGGCTTGGATTGAAAAAAAAAAAAAGTTTCTCCAGAACACAGTTGCAAAATGGCAAATCACCGTATCGAGCATTTGAAGCACCCTTCACAATCGAAGCCATTCTGAAAGGTACTCTAATTCGGATTTTTAATTCGGAAATTCCACAGAAGATCGAGCTTATTCGGGAATTCTTCCGAAGTTCGGGTACACAAACATGAAAAAACCATGAAATAAACCCGTCGAACATGTTTTGGGCATTATTTGTGGATAACACAAACATGAAAAAAAACCCGTCCAACATGTTTTGGGGATCATCTTACGTGAGGGATCGTGTGGTTGAGAATCACGATCAGCAGATAAACGTTCCTCCTGGCCCGGGCCGTGGTTGAATCTTCCACGGTGCTGTTTGTCGGAGCACAGTTATACGGTACTGCGTTTTCCGTTGAACATTTTTAAACTATAGTGTACTGCATATGAGCCACAATACACATTCTCGGTACCGTGACACTGTTCTTTTGCGTTCCGCCAAACCACATTCCAAACCTTCCTAGGTAAAGGCCCAAGCCCTTCAGACTCTATGTCAGGTCTTACAGCGAAGTGTACAAATACAGTGATAATCAACTGTACAGCATATTATATTTCGACTGCATTCGAATTTATTAGACAGTCCATAAGGGGGATGCTCCAATTTTCCTTCAACCAACCATTACCAACGCCTTTGATGCACTAAATACAAGTCAAGCTAGAAAATAAGTAACTTCTGCTATATATCTTAACGAACATATGGATCCCCAATGCTATAGGAATGCAAGCTACAAACATGTAAAATAGAGTCATGTTTACAAGTTGATGCGGGGGCAAAAAAAGGGAAAAACTTCCAAAATTGTCAGGGACTGGCCAGGAGGCAAAGAGGGAAGGATGGGATGTGTGGATACCTGGGCTAAATAACCAGCACATGTCCCGAACCCAAACATCTGTGACAGGTTGGCAAGCTTATGCCACAACGTCTCCCTTCATCAACGTCCCGCCTGCTAAGTTCTGTACACTTTTATGACCTGTTCTTCAGTTCCGCCAATCGCCGTGTCAAGTCGTCCTCGGCATTGGTCTGCGCTTCTCTGGATGGCAAAGCACTCGTGGCAGCACCTGGTAGGCCAATCTGCACCTCCAATCCATGTTCGTCCGCCACCTGGCATATTTTCAAAATAATATAGGGATTGGCGAATGTCAGTTGGGGTGCAACTAAGCTCTATTAAAAACGACACACCAAGCACTGTGCATGAGTGGAAGGAAGTCCCAAAAGACATTTTGTTGTGAAGAAACAACAATTTAATGGCAGCACGAGCTTATCCGCACCAGCAGCCCAAGTGACATTGCACAAGAAAGGTGAAAGAAACGAAGCGGGATATGCACATGGATGGAAGCAGGCAACAGCTCCTCAGAAACCAGTTGATTAACCATGGCCGCCTCAAACATATTGTGTTGAGACGCCTACATATATAAAGTTGATGAAGCAGAACCATCAGTTTGACTGACCTGTTACGTGAATGTGTTGATGTCCCCCTCCAATGTTTCGTGTTTAGGCCCCTCACATGCAGAGAGCGGCAAATTTTGGCACCATTTCTGACTGAAATCCTGACGGAAAAAATATGACTGACCTGTTGCATGAGCATGTTGACGTCCTCCTCCGGCGTCGACAGCGCCGTGCTGCTGTGCATCGCGTTCTCGACGAACTGCGACTGCACCTCCATGTTCACGAACTGCCGCTCGAACGTGTCCATCGTTTCTGAAATCTTCTGCAGATTGCTGCTCGCGAGCGCGGAATCCAGAACCTTCACGATGCTTCCCATGGAAGTCGTGATGGTGTTCATGCGAGCTTGCGTGTCCAGACGAGCGATAACCGCGTCTAAGCGGTTGGATAAGCGGAGGTAGTTCAGCTGCTCGGAGCGTTTCCGGATGGCGTTTTGAGCGTAAATCTTGCCGCCTTCCATGTTGCCCTTTTCGATGGCTTTCTTGACCTTGAGCTTCTGCTCCTTCTCCTCTTTCTCGCACTTCTTCGCTTGCCGGACTAGCGTCTTTGACGTGAACTTAAGCTGGAAAATCTGGTCCATGAGCTTTTCTTGGTTCCCCATGGCTACAGCTACCGTATAACTAGGCTTAGCTCTCGAGGAAAAGGATAGAAGCGCAACAGCTAGTTCGCGAGGGGTTAGGAGAGCAAAAGATTTTGGCGCAAGCCAAATGCCAAGAAAAGGTCGCGTTTACGGAGGTGGCTACGACAAAAGAGTCGTAAGCTAAGTTCGTAACTGGATGTGTTGGGAAGAAGCAAGAGATGACGCTACACGCGCATACACAAAGGTGGGGCAGGTATAACGCGGAGTGGCGTGCATTGGATGGATGGGTGGTCTTCCCGACTTGACCCCCAAGAGCGGAAAGAAGGCGAAAGGAAGGCGGACATTGGAGTGGATTGCACAACCAAGCTAGTACGCGCTATAAGACGAGGGCACTGGGGCCTTGGGATTTTCGGCCATGGAACCTCATATAGGCTATTTACACCTAACTCAACACTACACATACAGCTGGCATTCTAACCAGGCATTTGAGCAACTAGCCATTGGATGTAAGCGCTTTACCTCAGAAAGCACCAGTTAATATGCATAAATGCTATACAGTGAATGGAGCCGTAATCATCGACGACCCGCCATACTACCCCCTTTTCATATGCAGCCAAACGACCTTGTGAAGAGAGCCGAACACCTGGGGGAAGGTAGGCAAAGCCCTGTGCAAGAGAAAAGTCACGAAACACAACAAACACATTGATAAGGTCTTAAAATAGGAGCAAACACATGGAAAATATCAGCATCTACGCAACAGCACAGCACTAGTGGAACAGAAATACAGGCAGAACAAAATGGGAGCAGTGGGAGTTGGGGACAGAGGGGGGATAGGGGGAGGGGGGATAGGGGGAAGGGGGAATGGAAGGCGCCAATGTGTAAATTCAAAAGCCATATATGATCGTCAATCCCTAATTACCTGCTGTATGGCTTGTGACATGGCACCTTATCTGCTGACATGGCACCTTACCTGCTGTATGGCTTGTGACATGGCAGCGACAGCGGTGCAGCGAGCGTCCTCGTCAGCCATGGTCTTCTCCCACGGGACCTTGGACAGGTCAGCTGCTGACGTGGCAAGCATGTCCAGCCCTGATTGGTTTGCTAGGAGCAGCTCTGGTGATGCCTGTGTGCAGACCAACGGACAGGCATGGGAAGGGGCAGGTATGGGAGACGGCAGGGATGGGAAACGGCAGGTATGGGAAAAGGCAGGGATAGGGCAGGTTAGGAGGCTATCAGAATACGGTTGAGAAAAGTGCAAGCGAGGTGGAAAGGCAAGAGAGAAGTGGAGTGAGAAGGATAACTGAGGCGAGTTTTTATGGGGGGGGTTTTGAGGGTGAAAGGTGGTAGTTCTGGCAAGGGGGAAATTTCTGATGGGCGCGAAGATCCTAAGTGAGGCATACCCGCCAGGCGATGCAGATGATGGCATCCCGATGCTCCCACAGCACTCTCAGCAGCGGAGGGGGAGCGAGAGAGGTTTGAGAGAGGGAGAGAAATGCGAGAGAGGGTGCAGAAAAGAGAGGTAAGACATACCCGCCAGGCGATGCATATGATGGCATCACGGTGCTCCCAGAGCACTCTCAGCAGGCGGGACAAGTCCCCCCCTGCCAGCGCTGCTCCTGCTGCTGGCGACAGGTCCGACCCCACTGCCACCCTGCCATGGTGGGGTGAGGACGGGGGAGAGGGGGGGGGGGTGGGGGGGGGTTGCGGAGAGTTGGGAGGATGAATGATGGATATACAGGCTGCACCTGCTGCTGGCGACAGGTCTGACCCCACTGCCACCCTGCCATGGTGGGCAGGGGGGTGGGGAAGGAGGCGGACAGACGGATGGATGGGGATTGACAGACGGACGAGCTGGCAGGAGAGCAGGCAGGCAGGCATGCAGACGGACAGGCAGAGAGACAAGTGATAAGGTATATTGGAGTCACTTTTAAGAGTCCTCACTAAGTCATGAGTCACTCACTTGTAACTCTGTACAATCCATCTGGCCAGTTGCATGGCATGCGAACCCCCTCCCCCTCCCCCGCCCCCACCACCACCGTTGCCACCACCGCCACTCGAAGTCGGGCCTCCAATGCTACCTCCCCCGCCTCCCCCTCCCCCTGCTCCCCCTCCCCCTGCTCCCCCCCCACCCCCAAACCCTCCACCTACTCCTCTTCCCAGGGAACCCAGGCCCCCAAGAACCATAGAGTCTCCTAACCCTCGCCCATTCTCCCCACCCCCTCCTACCCCTCCCCCTCCCCCCATTCCTCCCCCATTCCCCTCTCCCAACCCTCCCCCAATCCCCATTCCCATGCCTATCACCCCCAAGGCAGCCGAACCCTCCCCACCCAAACGGTTAGGTCCGGAGCCATCCCCAACCATGCGGCTAGGTCCGGAAACGTCTCCCGCACCTCCCGCCAGGGCTGCTACAGCACCACTGGGAGACCGGGCGGCAGAGGCTGTGGCGACTGTAGCAGCGCCAGATGCAGACGGATGGTGCCGTCCGGCCATGTTGGGCATGCCGGCAGGCCGAGCGTCAGGAGATCTAAGATTCCCCGCTGCTGCCGCTACAGCCGCAGCGTTATTAGCCGCAGCTGCGTTAGCTGCAGCGGCAGCAGCGGTTTGAGAGGAACCAGCAGCAGCAGTGGAGGGGAGAGGGACAGGGGGGGAGCGATTGGGATCAAGAGAACCCACTCCCATTCCTAACCCCCCCAGCACTCCTTGTCCCATCAGGCCTCCTTGACCACTCAAATTGCCCAGTCCTTGCCCGTTCATGTTGCCGAAAGGACCAATACCATGTCCGGATGCCAGAGCGGAAAACGCAGCAGCACCCGTGGCACCAGCAGCAGCAGCGGCGGCGGTGGCAGCAGCAGTGGTGGCAGCAGCAGCAGAGGAGGAGGACGGCCCTGCAAGCAGTGCTGCATTCATCCCTGGGGGAAAGCCTCCCGGGAATCCCGATGTGTTGAGACCAGAGGCGTTGAGACTCGAGGGGGCGTTAGATTGTAACCCTCCAAATCCAGGGGTATTGGAATAAAGCCCCCCAAGACCGGGGATGTTGAAACCAGCAAGGGAACCAGGGAACCCTAGCATTCCACCATTCGTTCCTGCAGCAGCAGCAGCGGCGGCAGCAGCAGGGTTGGAACCCAGACCCAGACTCGAACCCGCTCCTTGCCCGGCGGTCGGAATTCCGGGCAGACCGAGAGCTCCCAGCTGCCCGAAATTGAAGAAATTTGACGAGGCAGGCAGTGATTGTTGGTTCAAAGGCGTGGCTGCAGCGGCAGCGGCAGCAGCGGAAGAGGCGGTGAGGGAAGAAGGCAGGCCAGTGAAAGCAGCAGCAGCGGCAGCGACAGCCGCAGCAGCAGAGGTAGCAGCAGGATTAGAGGCTGATGCGGCTGCTCCAGGCAGTTGCGAAAGGGCAGACTGGAATTGCATTTGCGGCCTGTCTACCTGCATCATCATCATCATCTGCTGCTGGTGCTGCTGCTGTTGCAGCATTTGCTGCATTTGCTGCTGCTGCTGCTGCTGTTGTTGCTGCTGTTGTTGCTGCTGTTGTTGCTGCTGTTGCTGTTGCTGCTGCTGCTGCTGCTGCTGCTGCTGCTGCTGCTGTTGCTGCATCTGCTGCATCATCTGCAGCGGCTGCTGCTGTTGCTGCGGGGGGGAAAAGCTCATAGATATCCTCTGAATGGCCCCCACGACTGACCGCACATACTGCCTGGCTGTGTTGGCCACCCCCTCCTTGGCTGCCGGGCAGTCAAACACGAACTGGAAGGCAATGGTGAGCACTGATCGCAGCTGCTGCTGCTGGGACGGCTGCGACTGCTTGTCTAGAGACGCCGCCAGGTCCAGGGTTTGCCCGTCCTGCCATGGTTGGGGGGGGGGCGGGGATGGGGGGGAATGGTGAGAGTGAGGGGAGATAGGCTCATGGAGATCCGCTGAATGGCCACCACGACTGACCGCACATACTGCCTGGCCGTGTTGGCCACCCCCTCCTTGGCTGCCGGGCAGTCAAACACGAACTGGAAGGCAATGGTGAGCACTGACCGCAGCTGCTGCTGCTGGGACGGCTGCGACTGCTTGTCTAGAGACGCCGCCAGGTCCAGGGTTTGCCCGTCCTGCCATGGTTGGGGGGGGGGCGGGGATGGGGGGGAATGGTGAGAGTGAGGGGAGATAGGCTCATGGAGATCCGCTGAATGGCCCCCACGACTGACCGCACATACTGCCTGGCTGTGTTGGCCACCCCCTCCTTGGCTGCCGGGCAGTCAAACACGAATTGGAAGGCAATGGTGAGCACTGACCGCAGCTGCTGCTGCTGCTGGGACGGCTGCGACTGCTTGTCCAGTGACGCCGCCAGGTCCAGGGTTTGCCCGTCCTGTCATGGTTGGGGGGGGGGCGGGGATGGGGGGGAATGGTGAGAGTGAGGGGAGATAGGCTCATGGAGATCCGCTGAATGGCCCCCACGACTGACCGCACATACTGCCTGGTTGTGTTGGCCACCCCCTCCTTGGCTGCCGGGCAGTCAAACACGAACTGGAAGGCAATGGTGAGCACTGACCGCAGCTGCTGCTGCTGGGACGGCTGCGACTGCTTGTCTAGAGACGCCGCCAGGTCCAGGGTTTGCCCGTCCTGCCATGGTTGGGGGGGGGGCGGGGATGGGGGGGAATGGTGAGAGTGAGGGGAGATAGGCTCATGGAGATCCGCTGAATGGCCCCCACGACTGACCGCACATACTGCCTGGCTGTGTTGGCCACCCCCTCCTTGGCTGCCGGGCAGTCAAACACAAACTGGAATGCAATGGTCAGCACTGATCGCAGCTGCTGCTGGGACGGCTGCGACTGCTTGTCCAGTGATGCTGCCAGGTCTAGGGTTTGCCCGTCCTGTGATGGGGCGTGGGGGGCAGGGGGTGTAGGGGAATGGTGAGAGTGAGGGGAGATAGGCTCATGGAGATCCGCTGAATGGCCCCCACGACTGACCGCACATACTGCCTGGCTGTGTTGGCCACCCCCTCCTTGGCTGCCGGGCAGTCAAACACAAACTGGAAGGCAATGGTGAGCACTGATCGCAGCTGTTGCTGCTGCTGGGACGGCTGCGACTGCTTGTCCAGTGACGCTGCCAGGTCTAGGGTTTGCCCGTCCTGCCATATTTGAAATAGTGGGGAGAGGGATGGTGAGAGTGAACGGAGCAGTGAAAGACGAAGTGGAAGGCAATGGTGAGCACTGGGAGTGGGGGGTGAAAGTGGGGGGTGAGAGAGAGGTAACACCAACCTGGGAGGGTGGCAGTGAGAGAGGGATGACTCGGAAGCCAGATGGCAGCAGCGGGACGGTGTCAGCTGTGGAGGCCGCGTCCACGGGGGCAAACACCAGCTGAGCTGTCGCGCTGTGCGGCGGTGCTGACGTGGCGGATGATGCTGACGTGGAGCCCGACGTGCTGTCGTCCTCGATGCCACTGCAGAGCTGCGAATCACAGGGGCAAACGGGGGAGAGGGGAGGGGGAGAGGGGAGGGGGAGAGGGGAGGGAAGGGGGGAGGGGGAATGGGGAGGAAGAACAAGGGGGAGCGGGGAGGAGGGAGGGGGAGTAGGGAGGAGCGGCAAGAAGGGAGGGTAAGTAGGAAAGCGGGGTGGGTGGGGCGAAGAGTGAGGGGAACAGGGAGAAGCAAAACGGAATAGAGAAGAGAAAGAGAGTGCGGTTGAAAAGCGGGAAAGGGGGAGAGGAGGAGACTGGCACAGATGTGGGGGAAGGGGTGTGGGAGTGGGTGCAGGCAAGGAGAGGCAAAGGTGGATGCTGATGCAATCGTTCAGCGAGAGTAAAACCGACTCTGTTACCCCACCCACAGCACCCACCCACCCGCACCTCCCAGCCACCCGCAGCGCCCACCCACCCACACGCAGTCCCCCACCCACCTGCAGCACCCACCCACCCACAGCACCCACCCACCCGCACCTCCCAGCCACCCGCAGCGCCCACCCACCCACCCGCAGTCCCCCACCCACCCGCAGCACCCACCCACCCGCACCACCCACCCACCCGCACCACCCACCCACCAACACCATTAGGAAAGGCCTCACCTGCAGCAGAAACGTTTCTCTCGCTCCGGCCATCCCCCGTGTGGCAGCTGCTGGCTCGAGCTTCACCAACTCCAGGAACTGACGATTGGATGGGTGGAGAGCGCGGAGGGGAAGGGGAGGGGTGCGTGCAGGGAGTGGGGGAAGAGGGAGCAAGAGATAGTGAGAGCCATGCCTCGGGTGGCAGCAGCAGGCTCGACCTTTACTAGCTGCTGACAGTGGGGGAAGATGATGGGTGTGAGTGGGGGAAGATGATGGGTGTGAGTGTGTGATGGGCGACTTGGTCCACGCGCGCGCCATGGTCCGCGCGCGCGCCCTGGTCCGCGCGCGCGCCCTGGTCCGCGCGGGCGCCATAGTCCGCGCGCGCGCCTTGGTCCGCGCGGGCGCCATGGTCCGCGCGCGCGCCTTGGTCCGCGCGCGCGCCCTGGTCCGCGCGCACGCCTTGGTCCGAGCGCGCGCCTTGGTCCGCGCGCGCGCCTTGGTCCGCGCGCGCGCCTTGGTCCTCTCGCGCGCCATGGTCTCGCGCGGACCAAGGCGCGCGCGCGGACCAAGGCGCGCGCGCGGACCATGGCGCGCGCGCGAGACCATGGCGCGCGCGCGGACCATGGCGCGCGAGAGGACCAAGGCGCGCGCGCGGACCAAGGCGCGCGCGCGGACCAAGGCGCGCGCTCGGACCAAGGCGCGCGCGCGGACCAGGGCGCGCACGCGGACCAAGGCGCGCGCGCGGACCAAGGCGCGCACGCGGACCATGGCGCCCGCGCGGACCAAGGCGCGCGCGCGGACCATGGCGCGCGCGCGGACCATGGCGCCCGCGCGGACCAGGGCGCGCGCGCGGACCAGGGCGCGCGCGCGGGCCAAGGCGCGCGCGCGGACCGTGGCGCGCGCGCGGACCGTGGCGCGCGCGCGGACCGTGGCGCGCGCGCGGACCGTGGCGCGCGCGCGGACCGTGGCGCGCGCGCGGACCGTGGCGCGCGCAGCGGACCGTGGCTGCGCGCGCGGACCGTGGCGCGCGCACGGACCGTGGCGCGCGCGAGGACCATGGCGCGCGAGAGGACCAAGGCGCGCGCGCGGACCAAGGCGCGCGCTCGGACCAAGGCGCGCGCGCGGACCAGGGCGCGCGCGCGGACCAGGGCGCGCGCGCGGACCAAGGCGCGCGCGCGGACCATGGCGCGCGCGGACCAAGGTGCGCGTGCGGACCATGGCGCGCGCGCGGACCAAGTCGCGCGCGCGGACCATGGCGCGCGCGCGGACCATGGCGCGCGCGGACCAGGGCGCGCGCGCGGACCAAGGCGCGCGCGCGGACCATGGCGCGCGCGCGGACCATGGCGCGCGCGGACCAAGGCACGCGCGCGGACCAAGGCGCGCGCGCGGACCAAGGCGCGCGCTCGGACCAAGGCGCGCGCGCGGACCAAGGCGCGCGCTCGGACCAAGGCGCGCGCGCGGACCAGGGCGCGCGCGCGGACCAGGGCGCGCGCGCGGACCAAGGCGCGCGCGCGGACCAAGGCGCGCGCGCGGACCATGGCGCCCGCGCGGACCAGGGCGCGCGCGCCACGGTCCGCGCGCGCGCCACGGTCCGCGCGCGCGCCACGGTCCGCGCGCGCGCCCTGGTCCGCGCGCGCCATGGTCCGCGCGCGCGCCATGGTCCGCGCGCGCGACTTGGTCCGCGCGCGCGCCATGGTCCGCGCGCGCGATGGTCCGCGCGCGCGCCATGGTCCGCGCGCGCGCCATGGTCCGCGCGCGCGCCCTGGTCCGCGCGCGCGCCCTGGTCCGCGCGCGCGCCCTGGTCCGCGCGCGCGCCACGGTCCGCGCGCGCGCCACGGTCCGCGCGCGCGCCACGGTCCGCGCGCGCGCCACGGTCCGCGCGCGCGCCACGGTCCGCGCGCGCGCCCTGGTCCGCGCGCGCCATGGTCCGCGCGCGCGCCATGGTCCGCGCGCGCGACTTGGTCCGCGCGCGCGCCTTGGTCCGCGCGCGCCTTGGTCCGCGCGCGCGCCATGGTCCGCGCGCGCGCCATGGTCCGCGCGCGCGCGCCATGGTCCGCGCGCGCGCCCTGGTCCGCGCGCGCGCCCTGGTCCGCGCGCGCGCCCTGGTCCGCGCGCGCGCCACGGTCCGCGCGCGCGCCACGGTCCGCGCGCGCGCCACGGTCCGCGCGCGCGCCACGGTCCGCGCGCGCGCCACGGTCCGCGCGCGCGCCACGGTCCGCGCGCGCGCCACGGTCCGCGCGCGCGCCACGGTCCGCGCGCGCGCCACGGTCCGCGCGCGCGCCCTGGTCCGCGCGCGCGCCATGGTCCGCGCGCGCGCCATGGTCCGCGCGCGTGCCTTGGTCCGCGCGCGCCTTGGTCCGCGCGCGCCATGGTCCGCGCGCGCGCCATGGTCCGCGCGCGCGCCTTGGTCCGCGCGCGCCATGGTCCGCGCGCGCGCCTTGGTCTGCGCGCGCGCCATGGTCCGCGCACGCGCCCTGGTCCGCGCGCGCGCCCTGGTCCGCGCGCGCGCCCTGGTCCGCGCGGGCGCCCTGGTCCGCGCGCGCGCCATGGTCCGCGCGCGCGCCTTGGTCCGCGCGGGCGCCACGGTCCGCGCGGGCGCCACGGTCCGCGCGCGCGCCACGGTCCGCGCGCGCGCCCTGGTCCGCGCGCGCGCCTTGGTCCGCGCGCGCCATGGTCCGCGCGCGCGCCATGGTCCGCGCGCGCGCCGTGGTCCGCGCGCGCGCCCTGGTCCGCGCGCGCGCCCTGTTCCGCGCGCGCGCCCTGTTCCGCGCGGGCGCCTTGGTCCGCGCGCACCATGGTCCGCGCGCGTGCCATGGTCCCGCGCGCGCGCCTTGGTCCGTGCGCGCGCCATGGTCCGCGCGCGCGCCATGGTCCGCGCGCGCGCCTTGGTCCGCGCGCGCGCCTTGGTCCGCGCGGGCGCCATGGTCCGCGCGCGCGCCTTGGTCCGCGCGCGCGCCTTGGTCCGCGCGCGCGCCCTGGTCCGCGCGCGCGCCTTGGTCCGAGCGCGCGCCTTGGTCCGCGCGCGCGCCTTGGTCCGCGCGCGCGCCTTGGTCCTCTCGCGCGCCATGGTCCGCGCGCGCGCCATGGTCCGCGCGCGCGCCTTGGTCCGCGCGCGCGCCTTGGTCCGCGCGCGCGCCTTGGTCCGCGCGCGCGCCTTGGTCCGCGCGCGCGCCATGGTCCGCGCGCGCGCCATGGTCCGCGCGCGCGCCCTGGTCCGCGCGGGCGCCTTGGTCAGCGCGCGCCATGGTCCGCGCGCGCGCCATGGTCCGCGCGCGCGCCATGGTCCGCGCGCGCGCCCTGTTCCGCGCGCGCGCCCTGGTCCGCGCGGGCGCCTTGGTCCGCGCGCACCATGGTCTGCGCGCGTGCCATGGTCCGCGCGCGCGCCCTGGTCCGCGCGCGCGCCCTGGTCCGCGCGCGCGCCCTGGTCCGCGCGGGCGCCTTGGTCTGCGCGCGCCATGGTCCGCGCGCGCGCCCTGGTCCGCGCGCGCGCCCTGGTCCGCGCGCGCGCCCTGGTCCGCGCGCGCGCCACGGTCCGCGCGCGCGCCACGGTCCGCGCGCGCGCCACGGTCCGCGCGCGCGCCACGGTCCGCGCGCGCGCCACGGTCCGCGCGCCACGGTCCGCGCGCGCGCCACGGTCCGCGGCGCGCGCCACGGTCCGCGCGCGCGCCACGGTCCGCTGGCGCACGGCGCGCGCCCTGGTCCCGCGCGCGCGCCATGGTCGCGCGCGCGCCATGGTCCGCGCGCGCGCCTTGGTCCCGCGCGCGCCTTGGTCCCGCGCGCGCCATGGTCCGCGCGCGCGCCTTGGTCTGCGCGCGCGCCATGGTCCGCTGCGCGCGCCCTGGTCCGCGCGGGCGCCATGGTCCGCGCGCGCGCCTTGGTCCGCGCGGGCGCCACGGTCCGCGCGCGCGCCACGGTCCGCGCGCGCGCGCCACGGTCCGCGCGCGCGCGCCCTGGTCTGCGCCGGGCGCCTTGGTCCGCGCGCGCCATGGTCCGGCGCGCGCGCCATGGTCCGCTGCGCGCGCCGTGGTCCGCGCGCGCGCCCTGGTCCGCGCGCGCGCCCTGTTCCGCTGCGCGCGCCCTGTTCCGCGCGGGCGCCTTGGTCCGCGCGCACCATGGTCCGCGCGCGTGCCATGGTCCGCGCGCGCGCCTTGGTCCGTGCGCGCGCCATGGTCCGCGCGCGCGCCATGGTCCGCGCGCGCGCCATGGTCCGCGCGCGCGCCTTGGTCCGCGCGCGCGCCTTGGTCCGCGCGGGCGCCATGGTCCGCGCGCGCGCCTTGGTCCGCGCGCGCGCCCTGGTCCGCGCGCGCGCCTTGGTCCGAGCGCGCGCCTTGGTCCGCGCGCGCGCCTTGGTCCGCGCGCGCACCTTGGTCCTCTCGCGCGCCATGGTCCGCGCGCGCGCCATGGTCTCGCGCGCGCGCCATGGTCCGCGCGCGCGCCTTGGTCCGCGCGCGCGCCTTGGTCCGCGCGCGCGCCTTGGTCCGCGCGCGCGCCTTGGTCCGCGCGCGCGATGGTCCGCGCGCGCGCCATGGTCCGCGCGCGCGCCATGGTCCGCGCGCGCGCCATGGTCCGCGCGCGCGCCCTGGTCCGCGCGCGCGCCCTGGTCCGCGCGCGCGCCCTGGTCCGCGCGCGCGCCATGGTCCGCGCGCGCGACTTGGTCCGCGCGCGCGCCTTGGTCCGCGCGCGCGATGGTCCGCGCGCGCGCCATGGTCCGCGCGCGCGCCATGGTCCGCGCGCGCGCCATGGTCCGCGCGCGCGCCCTGGTCCGCGCGCGCGCCCTGGTCCGCGCGCGCGCCCTGGTCCGCCGCGCGCGCCACGGTCCGCGCGCGCGCCACGGTCCGCGCGCGCGCCACGGTCCGCGCGCGCGCCACGGTCCGCGCGCGCGCCACGGTCCGCGCGCGCGCCACGGTCCGCGCGCGCGCCACGGTCCGCGCGCGCGCCCTGGTCCGCGCGCGCGCCCTGGTCCGCGCGCGCGCCATGGTCCGCGCGCGCGCCATGGTCCGCGCGCGCGCCTTGGTCCGCGCGCGCCTTGGTCCGCGCGCGCCATGGTCCGCGCGCGCGCCATGGTCCGCGCGCGCGCCTTGGTCCGCGCGCGCGACTTGGTCCGCGCGCGCCATGGTCCCCCGCGCGCCTTGGTCTGCGCGCGCGCCATGGTCCGCGCGCGCGCCCTGGTCCGCGCGGGCGCCATGGTCCGCGCGCGCGCCTTGGTCCGCGCGGGCGCCACGGTCCGCGCGCGCGCCACGGTCCGCGCGCGCGCCACGGTCCGCGCGCGCGCCCTGGTCTGCGCGGGCGCCTTGGTCCGCGCGCGCCATGGTCCGCGCGCGCGCCATGGTCCGCGCGCGCGCCGTGGTCCGCGCGCGCGCCCTGGTCCGCGCGCGCGCCCTGTTCCGCGCGCGCGCCCTGTTCCGCGCGGGCGCCTTGGTCCGCGCGCACCATGGTCCGCGCGCGTGCCATGGTCCGCGCGCGCGCCTTGGTCCGTGCGCGCGCCATGGTCCGCGCGCGCGCCATGGTCCGCGCGCGCGCCATGGTCCGCGCGCGCGCCTTGGTCCGCGCGCGCGCCTTGGTCCGCGCGGGCGCCATGGTCCGCGCGCGCGCCTTGGTCCGCGCGCGCGCCCTGGTCCGCGCGCGCGCCTTGGTCCGAGCGCGCGCCTTGGTCCGCGCGCGCGCCTTGGTCCGCGCGCGCACCTTGGTCCTCTCGCGCGCCATGGTCCGCGCGCGCGCCATGGTCTCGCGCGCGCGCCATGGTCCGCGCGCGCGCCTTGGTCCGCGCGCGCGCCTTGGTCCGCGCGCGCGCCTTGGTCCGCGCGCGCGCCTTGGTCCGCGCGCGCGCCTTGGTCCGCGCGCGCGCCATGGTCCGCGCGCGCGCCATGGTCCGCGCGCGCGCCCTGGTCCGCGCGGGCGCCTTGGTCTGCGCGCGCCATGGTCCGCGCGCGCGCCATGGTCCGCGCGCGCGCCCTGGTCCGCGCGCGCGCCCTGTTCCGCGCGCGCGCCCTGGTCCGCGCGGGCGCCTTGGTCCGCGCGCACCATGGTCTGCGCGCGTGCCATGGTCCGCGCGCGCGCCTTGGTCCGCGCGCGCGCCATGGTCCGCGCGCGCGCCATGGTCCGCGCGCGCGCCATGGTCCGCGCGCGCGCCTTGGTCCGCGCGCGCGCCATGGTCCGCGCGCGCGCCATGGTCCGCGCGTGCGCCATGGTCCGCGCGCGCGCCTTGGTCCGCGCGCGCGCCTTGGTCCGCGCGCGCGCCTTGGTCTGCGCGCGCGCCCTGGTCCGCGCGCGCGCCTTGTTCCACGCGCGCAACCTGGTGCACGCGCGCGACCTGGTCCTCTTCCTGGTCAACAGCATAGGCGAGCGGCAGAGGAACTTTGCCAGCCCCAGCAGCAGCGGCGCGAGCACCCATGGTGGACTGCACTGCTGCTGCTGAACCCACCATACCAGCCAGCCCACCCGCTCTCTCACACACACACACACACACACACACACACACACACACACACACACACACACACACACACACACACACACACACACACACACACACACACACACACACACACACACACACACACACACACACACACACACACACACACACACACACACACACACACACACACACACACACACACACACACACACACACACACACACACACACACACACACACACACACACACACACACACACACACACACACACACACACACACACACACACACACACACACACACACACACACACACACACACACACACACACACACACACACACACACACACACACACACACACACACACACACACACACACACACACACACACACACACACACACACACACACACACACACACACACACACACACACACACACACACACACACACACACACACACACACACACACACACACACACACACACACACACACACACACACACACACACACACACACACACACACACACACACACACACACACACACACACACACACACACACACACACACACACACACACACACACACACACACACACACACACACACACACACACACACACACACACACACACACACACACACACACACACACACACACACACAAACCTCCTCCTGATCCACAGCATAGGCGAGTGGCAGAGGCACTTTCCCCGCGCCGGCAGCAGCAGCGCGAGCACCCATGGTGGCCTGCACTGCTGCTGCTGAGTCCGCATCGATCGTGCCATCAGCCCACTCGGAGCGGTGGTGGCGCAGGAACTTGATCAGCAACACTGGGGAGACGTTCTGGGGAGGGGGTCGGGGAGGGGTGTAGGCGCAGAGTAGGGGCGGGAGAGAAGGGAGAAGGAACGACGGGCTAAGTCAGGCGAATCGTGCTGTCAGCCCACTCGGAGCGATGGTGACGCAGGAACTTGATTAGGAGCACCGGGGACACGTTCTGAGGAAGGGGGAGGGAGGCGGATAAGGGGAGAAATGGTGAAGGACAGTGTGATTGCTTTTTTCTGTTTAGGGACTAATGAAAAGCAAGGTGGAAAAAGGGGAGAGTGATATGTTGAGTGTGGGTTGAAGGAACTTGAATGCAAGTACGATAAGTTTTGAATCTGTTTCTCTGACATTCTAACGAAAACAGATCCAGACTTGCGTTCAAATTGTTGCTGAGACGCTCCTAGCAGCACTACTAACCCACCAGTGTCAGCACCAACCCACCTGCAGTAGCATAGACGCCTTGGCGCACAGCACTCCCCCGCCCACAGGCCCAGGCGCATCTCCCCCTCCCCCTATCCCCCCCTTTTCTTGGGCGCCTAACAAGCTCTTCCATTTCCCACCCACCTGCAGTAGCATAGACGCCTTGTCGCACAACACTTCCCCGCCCACAGGCCCAGGCGCATCTCCCCCTTTTGGGGCGAACGCATGGACCATACCATTTGACACCCACCTGCAGAAGCACCAACCCACCCACCTGCAGCAGCATGGATGCCTTGGCACACAGCACTCCCCCGCCCACAGGCCCAACGCAGGCGCATCCCCCCCTCCGCCCATCCCCCCATTCCCCCATCCCCCTATCCCCCCATACAATTTCCCACCCACCTGCAGTAGCATGGATGCCTTGGCACACAGCACACCCCCGCCCACAGGCCCAGGGGCATCTCCCCCTCCGCCCATTCCCCCTGCGGCCTTCCCCCCCGCGCCCGTGGCTCTGGCAGCCAGAGTGACGTCATCCATGCCGTCCCCCTGCATCTGCTCCCACCCATCGTCTGTGAACCCATTCACTGCCTCGTTGAAACCCCTGCAGGGAGCGAGGGAGTTCCGGGAGGAAAGGGGGTTGGGAGATGGGGGTAAGAGATGCTGTGCCGTCACCTGGCATCTGCTCCCACCCGTCGTCTGTGAACCCATTCACTGCCTCGTTGAATCCCCTGTAGGGAGGGAGTTTGGGGAGGAAAGGGGGGTGGGAGAAGGGGGGGAGATGGGAGAGGGGGTAAGAGATGCCGTGCCGTCTCCCGCCATCTGCTCCCACCCATAGTCTGTGAACCCATTCACTGCCTCGTTGAAACCCCTGTAGGGAGGAGGAAGGGGAGAGGGAGGAAGGGAATAGGAGATGGAGCGAAGCGGGAAGGGTGCAGGCTGTAAGGTATCGTCTGTGAACCCATTCACTGCCTCGTTGAAACCCCTGCAGGGAGGTTAGGGACGAAAGAGGGACGTGAGAGGAGGGAGATGGGAGAGGGGGCAAGAGATGCTCCCACCCATCGTCTGGAAACCCATTCACTGCATCGTTGAAACCCCTGGGTGGGAGGAGGAAGTAGAGGGAGTGGGGAAGGGAGGAGAAAGTGGATGGGTGGAAGGGTAGGCAGCGACTGGAGGGAAGAAAGGGGGGGAGAAGGTATGAGGCAGGCAGCAAGAGAAAGAGGCTCCCACCCGTGATATGTTAGCCCATTCACTGCCTCGTTAACTCCCACTCACACTCAAACGAACACTTCTCCCACTCACATGGCAATACGCTCTGCAATGGCTCGCCAAGCAGTGAGCTGCCGGTCCTGAAGCCGACCCGACTCCGCCCTGCTGCCCGCCGCCCTCTCACCTGTTCCTGCTCTCATGCAACTTGCACTACGCACCCGCACATACAGCTCACCCATGGACACTCTCCCCCCCCTCATGCCTTGCCGCGCTCTCATGCAACTTGTAGTATGGATTCCTACAGTTCACACACACAGACACTCGCCCGCCTCACGTGCCTCCTCCCACTCACATGGCAATACGTTCAGCTATTGCGCGCCACGCCGTGAGCTGCCGGTCCTGCGGCCGACCTGACTCCGCCCTGCTGCCTGCCGCTCCTCCCTCTCCACTTCCTGCCACTCATTCGAACACTCTTTCCACTCACATGGCAATGCGCTCTGCTATCGCTCGCCAAGCCATGAGCTGCCGGTCCTGCGGCCGCCCCGACTAAGCCCCGCTGTCCGCTGCCCGCTCCCTCCCCACTTCCTGCTCTCGTGCCAAGCATCCACTCACATCAACACTCCTCCCACTCACATGGCAATGCGCTCTGCTATCGCTCGCCAAGCCGTGAGCTGCCGGTCCTGCGGCCGCCCCGACTCCGCCCTGCTGCCCGCCGCCCCTCCCTCCCCGCTGGTGGCCTCACCGCCCCCTCCCGACCCCTCATTGGCCACCTTGCGCAGGTAGCGCAGGGCCTCGATGGTCATTCGGTGTGCCAGCGCTGCAGACGACTGGTACAGCGGCCGCAGCACCTCGGGCACGCTGGACGCCTGGAGAGAGTGCAGGGGAGAGGGAGAGGGAGGAGTGGGGAGAGGGAGGAGTGGGGGTTGAGGAAGGGGTTATTGGTCCTACAGCAACGACTGGTAGAGTGGCCGCAGCACCTCGGGCACGCTGGACGCCTGGTGGGAGTGCAGGGGAGCGGTAGGAGGGAGGAGGGGGGGGGGGGGGGGGAGGGGGGGGCAACGGGGAGTAAGGGATTTGCACAGGCCAAACAGGGATGACTGGAAGAGCGGCCGCAGCACCTCGGGCACGTTGGACGCCTGGTGGGAGGGAAGGGGAGCGGGAGAGGGAGGGGGTGGGGAGAGGGAGGAATGGGGGTTTAGGAAGGGGTGACAGGTCCGACAGGAACGACTGGTAGTGCGGCCGCAGCACCTCGGGCACGCTAGACGCCTGGTGAGAATGCAGGGGGGAGGTGGGAGGGTGGGCAGGCGCGAGGGGGGGGGGGGTGGTGGCGGGGTGGTCGACAGCGATGATAACAGACCCCCCCCCGTCGCACTGGCGGATGAGGTAGCCACTGGGGAGCATCTCGGCTCGCACAAACGAGGGCACGGTGAGTGGGAGGAGGGAGAGGGGGGGGGAGGGGAGGGAGGAGGGAGCGGGAAAGGAGGAGGAGGGAGAGAGGGAGGGGAGAGAGGAGGAAGCATCCATCCAGCAGCACACCTGAAGGTCGAGGTGGTCAACAGCGATGATCAGACCCCCCCCCGTCGCACTGGCGGATGAGGTAGCCACTGGGGAGCATCTCGGCGCGGCATAGTGAGAGGAGGGAGAGGGACGAGGGGCACACCTGTAGGTCGAGGTGATCAACAGCGATTATGACGGACCCGCCCCCGTCGCACTGGCAGATGAGGTAGCCACTGGGGAGCATCTCGGCGCGGCATAGTGAGAGGAGGGAGAGGGACGAGGGGCACACCTGTAGGTCGAGGTGATCAACAGCGATTATGACGGACCCGCCCCCGTCGCACTGGCGGATGAGGTAGCCACTGGGGAGCATCTCGGCGCGGCATAGTGAGAGGAGGGAGAGGGACGAGGGGCACACCTGTAGGTCGAGGTGATCAACAGCGATTATGACGGACCCGCCCCCGTCGCACTGGCAGATGAGGTAGCCACTGGGGAGCATCTCGGCGCGGCATAGTGAGAGGAGGGAGAGGGACGAGGGGCACACCTGTAGGTCGAGGTGATCAACAGCGATTATGACGGACCCGCCCCCGTCGCACTGGCGGATGAGGTAGCCGCTGGGGAGCATCTCGGCGCGCACAAACGAGGGCACTGCGGGCATGGACGCGCCCCCATGTGCGTTGCTGAGCGAGCGCTCGCAGATCACCACGCCGTCCTCCAGGAGGGAGGTATAGCGAAGTGTGCAGAGATCCCTGGGTGGCGCCAGGGTTGTTGGTGCGTACATCTGTGCCGGAAAGGAAAGGGGTAGGGGGGAAGTGGGACAGGGGGACAGGGGGGAAGGTGAGCAGATGGGCACAAACGAGGGCACTGCGGGCATGGACGCGCCCCCAAGCGCGTTGCTGAGGGAGCGCTCGCAGATGACCACGCCGTCTTCTAGAAGAGAGGTGTAGCGTAAAGTGCAGAGGTCGCGAGGAGGGGCGAGGGTGGTTGGGGCGTACATCTGGAAAGGAAGAACGAGGGACAGGGAAGCAGTGGGGAAGGAGGGCGGGGGGGGGGGGGGGCAGCAGGGCACGGGGACAGGAGGACAGTGGGGAAGGTGAGCAGATGGACACAAACGACGGCACCGCGGGCATGGATGCGCCCCCATGCACGTTGCTGAGCGAGCGCTCGCAGATGACCACCCCGTCTTCTAGAAGAGAGGTGCAACGTAGGATGCAGAGGTCCCGAGGAGGGCGAAGGAGCAGGGTGGTGGTAAGAAAAGAGCGCTGGGAGAGAGGTGTAGTGCTGTAGCGTGCAGGGGTCGCGAGGGAGGGCTAATGTGGTTGGGGCGTACATGTGGAAAACGAGAGTGACAGGGTGACAGGGGCATGCATGGGCGTGCATTTAATTTACACATCCACCTGAGCTGAGCACACGTATACCTGAGCTCACCTGGGAATTCACCTGAGCGCACCTGAGAATCCACCTGAGCGCACCTGAGAATTCACCTGACTGCACTGGGCGTCCACCTGAGCCTACCTGGGTGTAGACGAGCTCCACAGTGCCCCCATTGGGAGTGCGGAAGCCCCCCAGCACGTCACAGCGGCGGCACTCCCTCAGCCACGCCACTCGGTCCTTTAGGAGCTCCGCTGCCTGCAGGGGAGGGAAGGGAGGAGGGGAGGGTTGAGAGATATCATTATGCGTGTGAACCGAGTGGTTGTGAACCGAGTGGAATAGGAGCAGCCATGTGGGCAGTGTGGGCAGAGAATCGCAATTGTTTTAGTTTGAAACAACTGGCCGTACCATGGCATATCAAACAAGGAACAGGTGGTGGAACTCACCTTGCTGGGCGGCAGCAGGACGAGGCCAGCCGCCCGAGCTGCAACACCAGGCCCCCCGCATGCAATGGTGACCTTGCCTATGTAGCCTGCTCCAACCTGCCAGGGGGGGATGAACGGGGAATGGAGAGAAAAGTGGGGTAAAGCGGGGAGGGAGCGATGCAGGACGGAACGGAAGGGGAAGGGGAATGCAAACGGAGGACCAAGAGGAGGGGAGAGGAGGGGAGAGGAGATGAACGAGACTCGCAGCAATGGAGTGCAAAGTACATCTGAAAAGAACGAGCCGGTGCAAAAAGTTCATTATTTCACTATGGTCATTTTCTATCTATCTTCCCATCTTTGCCTCCCTTGTTCTCCCACCACCTCTCCCCGCGCCTCACCTTGACTCCCGGCATCTCAACGAAGTCCATGGACGTGCCAGTGGCCTTGGCCAGGAACTCGGACAGGATTTGCTCCGCTATGGGCAGCAGGCTGGGGTGGGGGCGAAGGGAACATGGGGACACATGGCATCGGGGGAGGGACAGGGGCAGGGGCAGGGGCAGGGGCAGGGGCAGGGGCAGGGGCAGGGGCAGGGGCAGGGGCAGGGGCAGGGGCAGGGGCAGAGAAATGGCAGGAACGGGCAGGTAAGAGGAAGGAAGCAAGGACGAGGCAGGGGTCATCAGAGAAATCGGTTTTGCTATTGGGAATAGACTGAGGGTGGGTGAGGGGAGTGCGGCGCAAGGTACAAATGGAGGAGGCAGAGAGGTAGGCAGAGAGGCAGAACATGAGAAGTGGGGGGCAGGCGACGCACCCAGAGGCACCGGGGTCGCCGGCAGGATTGAAGCCTGTGACAGCAGAGTCCGAGGTCAGATTGGTGCCCACAAACCCCAGCCTTGGGAGCAGCTGCTGCTGCTCTGCTTGCTGTGCCAATCCCTGTTGTTGTGCTTGCTGTTGCTGCTGTTGCTGCTGCTGTTGTTGCTGCTGCTGCTGTTGCTGCTGCTGTTGCTGTTGCTGCTGTTGTTGCTGCTGTTGCTGCTGCTGCTGCTGCTGCTGCTGCTGCTGCTGCTGCTGCTGCTGCTGCTGCTGCTGCTGCTGCTGCTGCTGTGCCGCTCCCAGTTGCCTCTGCTTCAGCACGTCTAAAGCTGCTGCTCCTCCGCCGAACTCTCCCCCCACTCCTCCCACACCTCCGACCCCTCCCACCCCTCCTAGCGCAGCTGCTCGTAGCTGGGAAAAGATGTCTGGCTGACCCAGGGGCAGGCCCGGGTGCATTCCTGGGGGTAGAACCGGCTGATGCCAAGGGTTGGGGGGAAGAAGGAGAGCGAGGGAGGGAACGCAGGGGAAACCCACAGGGAGGAGGCAATGAGGCGAGATGAGAGAAAGATGTCTGGCGGGCCCAGGGGCAGGCCCGGGTGCATTCCTGGGGGAAGAGCCAGCTGATGCCAAGGGATGGGGGAAAAGGCGGGAAGGTGAGGGAAGGATGATATGAGAGACAGGGAGGAGGGGTCCAACGAGCTGGGGATTGAGGGAGAGGCGAGGGGGGCGGGGGGTTTGGGTGGGGGTGGTTTCGGGTTGGGAGAGGGTATGAGGGGAGAGCGCGGAAGAGCTGAGCAATGAACAGCCGCACGAGCAGCCATGGAGCGGATTTCACGGCAGGTTTGTTCCAAAGGAGCTCTACCGCTTACAGCAGTGGGAATGCCGGGAATGGGTCCCCCGCAGCAGCACCAGCAGACTTTTGAGGCGCCTCAAACCTCGCGGCAAAACAAGTCCAAAGGAGCAGAAACGCTTACAGCAGTGGGAATGCCGGGAACGGGACCAGCAGCAGCAGCAGCAGCAGCGGCAGCAGCAGCGCCGGGAAGCTTCATCGGATCCGCGGCTGCCGCAGCCGCAGCTGCAGCGGCGGCGGCCGCAGCTACAGACCCCGGCGTCGGTCCGCCGAGCTGCTGCGACGCCTCCAGGCGTGCGACCTGCTGTCGCAAGAGCATGTTTTCGAGCGTGAGCTGCGAGATCTTGCGCGTGGAGAGCTCGTTCTCCTCCACGAGCAGCTTGTTGAGGGCGGAGAGGCGCGAGTTCATGCTCTGCAGCCGGCTGTACTCCATCCGCTGCCGCTCGCGACATCTGGAGCGGGAGCGGGTTACAGGGTTGCGGGTTGCGAAAGGGAGAAAGTGTTACAGGACTTGACGGGGTTACGCATCGGGAAGGAAATTAAGCTGGTCGAGAGGTTTGCTTCGGTTTGCTTGTCGAACAGGGAACAATGTGGCGACTTTGAGGCTCTTGCTATCTGGAATTGCTCGGGTTCCATCGTCGAAAGCGCACCGACTGACGCGTGAGAGATATATTCGAAATTGCATAACTGTGTCTAATATCAATTCCGTAAAAGTAAGCAGACGCAACGAGGAAGGATTCTCTCAAAATGCAGCTCCGGTCTCCGCCTTTTCAACGAGGAGCTTGAAGCGGCGCAGGAGGCTCGAAATAGAAAATGTGAGGCCATACGTGTTCGGCCTTAAAAACACCAAGGACGTCCTTAAAAGCCGTCCGTACTAGCTGTTTAATACCTTCGGTTCTGGAACCAGACTTTGATCTGCTTCGGCTCGATGTTCGACAGCACGGGATATTCCTTGATAAGTTGCGACCGCCGGACGGAGCTGGGTTTCGGACATTCCTTATAGACTTTCTCCAACACCTCCACCTGCTCGCTCGTGTATCGAACGTATTTCCCTCCCTCCGCGGGACCCTCATTGCCCGGATACTGATCTCCCTCCTCGTCCTGCTCCCTCTCGTTCTTATCCTCTCCGCTTTCATGCGATTTTTCTTGACCGTGCCCTGCTCCTCCCGCCGACGTCACCATTACGCTTTTATAATCCCTCCTACTCGTGTCGCTTACGCTTTTCCAACCCTAACCTAATCTGCACTTTCCCCTCTGGGCAACAAGCCAATCACCAGCCTTGCAAGGATAGGTGGGGGGGGGGGTTCCTCTCCTCTCCTCTGTGGAAGCTGCTTTGACCAGTGCTGTTGAGAAAGTGGCGGTTCAAGTTCAAGAAAATGATGATTCCAGCAGTCGCACTGAGTGTTTGTTGCAGTTGTCTTGCTGGAGGGCTATCAGTGCCGTCGGCTAGGGTTTGTAGTTTTCCTCGCAGCGAGCGCACGGGCAAGGCAGAGCGATGATGAGGAAGGGAAAACAGGAGGGGAGGTATGATGATCCCCAGGGGCGCGCGCGGAAGCGATCATGAAAAACTCTCACTTGCGCCCAAACGTGGAGCACGTTTACGGTGCGGGCGCGGAAACGATGGCCCCGTCGAGGAAGTGGTGGTGCGGGAATCTCATGCGCCAGGGAGGCAATCTGAGGGTGGCGGAAGAGAGGATCAGGGAGATGATGATGATCCCAAGGGCCACGGAGAGCAGGGGAGCGAGGTATGATGAGCCGAGGCTGCAGTATGATGAACTGGGGAGGGGTCAGGGGGCGGGTGCTATACTGTTTCACAAATGGAGCCAGCTCACTGTTGGCGGGAAGCTGGGCATATTCAGGCTCGGAGAGTGCAAACTCAGACCGAGCCACGAATTACGACCAATTACAGTGGGCAATTTTGGCTCGGAAACTTCTTAGCTTCAGTTGTTGGTTTTCGTGGCAAAACTACCCAACCGATTTTCAGCTTGTCACGGCAAACTGCGAGGTTCGGGATCTTTGTGTGCGTGTACCGATTATGATGGGCTTCGTGCACCATCGAGTTGCTCTGCATTCCGATATTAAACTCTTCATTAGAGAAAGCTTCACTGGTACAACTATTTCGTAGACCTATGTAGACTATTTAGCCCTGATTTTGACCAAGTTTCATTTCTCAATTGTTAGCACCACTGGTAGCTGCCTTCTTCTCAGTGACTTGGCTGTTCACCGCATCCGCAATTTCACGCACCGCTGCCACCATCGCAATCGGCTCATTCAGGCGGTTGATGGCAGACCCAACACCCTGCAGGAAATAGCATAGAGAATTACGGTTTGTGGTTTAGATGCATGACTTCTTTTGTGAATAAGGCGGGAACTCGTGTCCTAGAATGAAACCGAAGGCAACATAGCGGGGTTGGCTGAAGGTAGGGCAACAGAAGGAAGCGAGGCAAGGCATATGACAACAAGAAAAACACGCACGAATAGCACGAGAAGCAGACATACCACTCCGGAGGCGCCAGCAGCGAAGGCGAGAGGAACAGTGACAGCGCTGAGGCCAGAGGCACACATGACAGGGATGGTGACGGCACGGGCAATGGAGTAGGTGGCTGCAATTGTGGGGGTGGCCTGGAGGGGGGGAGAGGGCAAGGGGGGGAAGGGGAAGCACAGAGGCAGAGGAAGGGCAGGGCATATCATATTAGGGCTATGGCTCCCCTGTGAGGTGAGAGAGACTATTTAAGGACAGAGGCACGCATTCACGGCATGGTGATGGCACGAGTACTGGATTAGGATGGTGGGGCTCGATTGGTGGAGGAATGAAAAGAGCGGAAAAGGGAGAACAGAGGAGCAGCATGGAGCAATCTGCAAATGCTGACAGAATGGAAATGGGAACCGTGGTGAAAACTCGGCGGTTAGAAAGCGGCTCAACCACCCACCTTCTCCACCAGCCCTTGAACGCCCGCAGAGGAAGCTGCTGAGCTGGTTCCGCCCTCAGTCTGGATGACGTCAGCACCACACTCTTGCAGAGCCTCTGCCAGAGCGACCTGGGTGGAGCGACGAGGGGAGTAGAGGGGGAGGAGAGGGGAGTAGAGGGGGACGAGAGGGGAGTAGAGGGGACGAGAGGGGAGTAGAGGGGGGCGAGAGGGGAGTAGAGGGGACGAGAGGGGAGTAGAGGGGGGCGAGAGGGGAGTGGGAGATGCGGGACGGATGGTAGGGAAGGGTGATGGGAGGTGAGAGAGTGAGATGGCATGGAATAGGTCTGTCTGGGACAGAGGATAGGAGGGTATTAGGATGGATAAATGGGAGGGTTGATTGGATGGGAGGAATTCGGGCAGATATGGCTGGGACGAAGGCATGAGAGTAATTGCGGATGGGCGTGATTGGAAATGTGCGCAGCAATATGAAATTTGGCGCGTAGAAGGTGGAGAAGAGGAGATGGGATGGGTGGTTAGAATCTTGAGAGGGAGAGAAAAGGAGCTGGGGGTTAGCTGCACTGGACGAAGTAGAGATGGTGCGACCCAGTAGGAGGGAAGGAGGAGGGGATGAGAGGGATGGTTGGAAGGGCGAACGGGGCAAAAAGGGAGGAGGGAATCAACAGCACCAAAAAAAGCAGAGTGTGGGCTACGGTGGCTGAAAATGGATGGAGAGGGAGGGAAGGAGGACGGGATGGGTGGGATAGTTGGAAGGGTGCGGGATGGGTGGGGTGGTTGGAAAGGTGCAGGCTGAGGGAGAAATCACCTGTTCGGGCAGAGGCAGAGTGTGGGGAACGGTGACGGAGAGAGCGATGGCAGGGAGCAGCTGGCGAGTGCGACGAGTCAAGTCAAGCACCTGCAGCGATGGGAAGAGGGACGTAAATGAGGATACTGTGCCCACGCCCCGTATCATGCTAACAAGTGGCGTCCCCTTCTACCCGAAGAAAACATCCTCCCTGCTCATGCTGTTCATCCATACCGCCCCGTCGCGTCGCTCTAGGCCCCACTCGCTCCTCACCTCCCTTGCTTTGTTACCCCACCCAGCTTTCACTGAAGCGGATATGGCCTGCTTCCAGAAACTCTATACTCGTGACGAAACTCAAAATTCCTGACGAAACTCAAACGGCGCTTATTGACGCGACAATACAGGCCCGCTTTGGTGACTCCGAGTCGACTCATATCATGCATCCACATCATCCGAAGCCTTTTTTCCACCATTCCACTTCACCTACACTGATGAGCCTTCAGCCACTCTATAAGTCCACAGCCGCGCCCTAATCCGCTGGTTTATGTTGATATTTTGGGATTTTATCGACTCTGAGGCACACCCGTGCCTTATCTTCGTTGGATTTTGAGATACGAGCTCTTCGGCACAACCTAGCCTCCTCCGCAGTAAACTCGTCTTTTATGAGGCGTCTAAAAAGCTCGTGTCTTAGCTCTTTGGCACAGCCCCGCCTTACCTCCTCTGCAGTGAACTCCCGGCCGTCAGGATAGAACGAATCAAAGTTGCCAATCTCGATCTGCCACGTGGAATCAAAGGGAGATGAAGAGATTAGATAGGAACGAGGAGGGAAACCTCCAAGCGCATGAGTGAACACGTATCAGTAAGTGAACAGGCTGGAGTGTGATTGCTTGCACTGCGGGATGACCACGTTCTTCCCGCTACTTGATCGCCTTTGAGAATTCTCAGAAGTATCATGTGATCTCTAATCGCAGTCAATGACACTGACTCACCATGTGCGCGCCAGCAGCAACTGCCTCGACGAACTTCTCGGGCTCCACTGCCGACACGCAGATCTGATCCACAGCGCGAGGGAGGAACATGGAAACGAGAAGGGAGAGAGCAGAGGGAGGGAGACTTTTGAGTCGACTCAGAAGTCACCCCGGCTCGACTGCCAGCAGCAACTGCCTCGACGAACTTCTCCGACTCCACTGCCGACACGCAGATCTATTCGACCGCGCGAGGGAGGGACATGGAGAGGGACGAACATGGAAGGGAGAAGGGAGAGAGCCGAGGGAGGGAGGGGCAGGGCAGGGAGAAGACGACACGGTGAGGGAGGAACAGGCCACGGCGGAACCATATATGGGTTGAGGGGAGAAGGAGGCGGATTTTGACAAACAGGGGAAATAAGAATACACACATACATACAGGTGTACATTCATGCCTGGAACGGCTTTCAGAGAGAGGGCGATGAGGAGCGGGCAAGACTTCTTCAGGGAGCGAGACTGAGGCCGGAGGGCTTACAGGGAGAGAGGTGAGGGAATGGGCAAGGTGAACGAGATCGGCATCGCAGGCAATGATTTTTGAGTCGACTCAAAAGTCATCTCCTTACAGGGAGAGAGGTGAGGGAGCGGGCGAGGCGAACGAGATCGGCATCGCAGGCAATGTCGACGACGGTGGCCCCTCCCTGGCGAGTATGGGAAGGGGATGGATGCGGGAGAGACGGGGTCGTGAACCGACGGGGATGAACGGAGTGAGCAGGTGCGGAGTGAGGGGAGAAGCACGCGGCGATAGAGATTTAGGATCCAGCAATGGAACGCGGCGAGTGGAAGAGCGGATGAAACGGAACGAAACCAATGTGAATAAATAGACGATGCACGTCAGGGGAAGAGGGGGATGGGGAGGGATAGAATGGGGGGAATGGGGAAGGATAGGATGGGGAAGGATAGAATAGCTTGAAGAATGGTAATGAGGAAAGAAGTGTTAGACAGGCGTTGCGTACCTTCTCGGCAGCGGAGACGACAGCGGCAACAGAGTCGGCATTGAAGTTGTTGAGTCCTGCGATGGCCTGGAAAAACCAGAAACGACATTGCGAATGAAGGGAAAAAAAGGTTCATGAAAGGGAGTGATGCCATGATTTCTGGGTCGACTCAAAAGTCATGTTCGTGAACAAGCAAACAGTCCCCTGAGGTTCTTTGCATTCACGTCTCACGCAACAAAAACGTTTTCTTCTCTCACCACGTGAGACGTGAATGCAAGATCCTCACAACGAGCGAACGACAACGACAATGAAAAACTGTTCTGGACCTCTGGTACTCTGAATATGTATAAATGTGGTACTAATGTTCAGCTTTCCCTCAAAGCACACCTTGAAAGCCTTCTTCTCGCGGAAAGTTCTCATAGCGAAGGCTCGGTTGCTCTCATCGTTGCAAGCCGACGGCTTCGCGGAGCACCTGACGGAACCGTTAGTCTTGCCGGCCGGTGCACGCTTGCTGACGGAAGCAGCGGAGCGCAGGACGGGAGTTCCCGAAATAGCGGCTGAGCTGGCAAGAGCCCTGGATGACGCGGCACTCGCGGAAAACGCGGTTGTGGCCACCGTTGTGGAGAGGGAGCTGGTGAGAGTAGCCATTGCTTGAAAGTTTAACGCAACGAGTCTACTACGCGTACAAAATGAGGAATGCCGACAAGATGACCGATGACTGCTCAACTCCCTCTCCCAATTCAGGGACCTAAGGTTCGATGAGAGTGAGGTGCTGTGAGAACTAGATATTACGATGAAAAATAACTATGGGTTCATGGATTATGGTAGAAAGTTCAACAAAACTAGAATCATCGTCATAGCCAAGCGGAAGTAAGCCGAGGTGGGGCGAGGTGAAGTGAGATGGAGTGAGGTGGAATGGAGATCCCAAAATGACGCAAGCAGTGGTGGAACTTGTCTGGAATGGGAGAAAATCAATCCGCAACTTTCGGGAGACTGGCACGAAGAGCGGGCCGAGAGATCACTTGGAGAAATTTGCCAGAGAGGACAATGGCAGTGCGCTACGTGTCAGCTGGGAATGATGATGACCTGCATTGTTATGATTGGATAAATCAGCGAGACTTCTAACGAGCGTGCGTTGTTTTCGTGATAAGAGAAACCACGTGGCAGTTGTACATTCACCATCTCGGCATTAGGGCAAAAATCTTCGTATCCACCAAAAGCATATCTCGTTAATATCGGCTGTTCGATAAAGATGTTGCATTTTGTGTGAAAGCACAAGTTCAATCTCAAGGAACCTCAAATAGGGTCTTGCAATGCAGTGCAGCACTCACAGCAAAGCAGAGATGCAAAAACGAACTACTGAAATTCTCATTTCAACAAAGAGAACCCTCGAGGTCCCAGCGCAGCCCTTACAACATGCACTCCCTGTTACGACCTCTAAACCCTCTTGCTAAATAACCCATTCTCCCTGAGGCGACTCTACATGTAAGATCTGAGGCCGAGCTCAAGAGCATGTCGAATCCCCTTAGCAAGTGGCGCAGCTGGTGGTAAAGGAGGCTCGGAGTCAGGTACGAGGATGGAGGGCTTGTTGCACTTCCCATGCTCCCCATGTTTACCTGAACATGGCAGCAGCGGAGGGTGTGGTGTGGTGGTTAGGCGGATGCATTATGCCTTTCCCAACCCTTTTCAAAGAGCTCAACCATTGTGGTTCGTACGGGGACGGGTGGAGGCCGACGGCAGGAAGGATGGGAGGGTGAAAAAGAGGGAGAGACGAACGAGGGGCAAGATGTAGAAAGGGAGTGAAAGTTCTTACCTCGGAATCGAGAGAGAAGAGCCCATCCAGCAATAAGGATGCATGGGAGGAGGCATGCAAGGAGGGGGGTGAAGCAGATGGAGCGAGTGTGACTTGAGCAGTGGAGGAGGGGAGGAGGGGTTGCTGATGCGCGGATGGAGTGGAGGGGGAGAGGAGGTGGAGGGAGAAGAGAGGCGGGCGGCGAGGGAAATCAGGATAGATGACGACCTGATGGGAGGGGCAGCAGGGGGGGAGGGTGGGAGATAAAGAGGGGGAGGGGGGGCAGGACAAAAACGATGGATGGGGGGAAGCAGAAGGGGGTGTTGGGAAGATGGGACGTCGGGATCGATGACGACCTGATGGGACGGGCGGCAACGGGGCAGGACAAAGATGACGTATGGAGGAATGCTGAGGGAAACGGATCAAGAGTCCACCGCAGGCAAGAAACGGAGCAATTTTGACATTAATCAGAAACGGGATGGTCAACAAAAGATCACATACCAGTGCCTGCAGGTCACACACACCCCTCTCGCCCTCCTCCTTCCTCCCCTTCCGCTCTCCACTCCCACCACTCCCACCACCCCCTCCGCCCCCTGTGCCCCTCACAATGAGCTCATACACACAGGCACCAGCCCCCAGCACAGTCTCCCAGGCGACAGCAGCAGGGGTGGAGGGATGGATACCATGAGCTGCTGCCCACGACCATGGCAACGCCACCCACACCACCCCTTCCACCCCTTCCACAACACCCCCACTGCCCCCACTGCCCCCGCTGCCCTGCCCGTCCCCTGAAGGTCCCTCTGCTGCCGCTTCTGTTCCTCCTGCTGCTGCTGCTGTTATGGCTCCAGATGCTGCCGCTTTACCCTCAGTTTCTCGCTTACTCCCTCCCCCTCTCCCTTTCTCTCCATCCTCATCGCTCTTCTCCTTCCCCTCCCTGCTGCTCCTCCTCTCCCTGCTGCTCTTCCCCTCGCTCTCCCGTTTCTTCCCCCCGCCCTCCCCCTTCCCGCCTGACCCCCCTTCAAGCTCACTGACCCCTGCCAGCCCTGCCACCCCACCCAACCCTACCGCACCGGCCAGTCCACCCAGTCTCCTCCTCTGTGCTATGACCAGAGCCTGGGCAAGCATAGCACCAGGCGGCAAACCACCCTCTCCTCCCAATGCACCGACAGGCAAGCTGCTCTCTCTTCCAAATCCACCAACAGCCAGCCTCCCGACAGTCTCGTCTCTACCTTTCCCTCCTCCTGTGCCTTCTCCTCGGCCGCGAGACGATCCATCCTCCCCTGATCCCTTCTCCCCTTTCCTCTCATCACCTTTCTTCTCGTCTCCTTTCCTCTCGTCCCCTTTCCTCTCATCCCCTTTCTTCTCATCTCCTTTCCTGTCACTCCTATCCTTCTCCCCCTCCCTCTCGCTCCTCCCCTCCCCTCTCCTCTCCTTCCCTCGCTTCTCCCCCCCTTTACCAACTGCCAAATCCCCCCCCTCAGCCTTTCCCCCAATCTGGCTGCTACACGTGGCGTTTGGGAATCCCAGAGGGCCAATGAGAAGCTGCCAGCTCAGAATAGAGCATTGGGGAAGGTACCCGGAATCTTCTGACCAGGGCCCGGAGGAGTATGGGCCGGCAGTGGCATTGGGAGGTGTGATTGTGGGGAGTGTTCTTGTAACGAGGGAGGAGAGAACCGCACTGCAGTCACAGGGGACAGTGGGGGAGAATGGGAGGGCGGATAAAGGAAGGAAGGAGAACTTAAACGAAGGGAGGAGAGGCAACGTTGGTTCAGAAGGAGGAATCTAGGAATGCAGGGAGGGACAGTGCTATAACATGAAAACGCAACTTTTTTTAGACGTATCATAAATTCTAGAATTGCAGGGACAGTGCTGCCATTGGTGAGATGAAAGCAACTCTTAGCACAATTGAAGGACACTTAAAACACTCACAAACGTGAAAAGAACATCCTTGCACTCACAATCCTCTAGTCACCCCCCCCAAGTCGTTCAGTCCCTATGGGACTGGTCATCCCCCCAAGCACTCACAAACATCCACTCATTCCCCCCCAGGCACTCACATGACTCACTTGAGCTCTCTCGCGGCCGTCACTCGCTCCCTCATCGCCTGCAGCACTCGCCCCAGCCGCCTCTCCTCCCTGAACGCCTCTAGCCGCTCCAGCAGCGCTGCCCGTGCTCCCCCCGGCCCTGCCTCTGCCGCCCCTCCCTCTCTCGCCGCTGCCACTGCCGTTGCTGCAGCAGCCGCACCAGCAGCAGGAGGAGCAGTGGCGCTAGCACCGGCGGCAGCAGAAGGATCGACCTCCATAGCAGCAACGGCAGAGGTGCCAGCATCACATTTACCACCAGCAGCACCACCACCAGTATCAGCCGCACCAGCAGGGGCAGAAGAGCCGGAGGGAAGCAGGAAGGAGGGGGGGAGGGGCGGGAGGAAATCCAGACCACACATGAGCTGCGCCCAGTAGAATGGGCGGGAGACGCGTGCAGGGAGAGACGCCACAAACCCACTCTCCCGCGCCAACGGCTCCTTAGCCATATTCGGGAAGAGAAGGCCTGAGTCCTCCGGGAATAGGTTCGTGAGGAGCGTGTGGAGGGAGAGAGGGGACGGGGGAAGGGTGGGTGCGGGCGGGGTGGGGAAGAAGGAGAAGGAGGAGGAGGCGGGGAGGAGGGGCGGGGATTGGGATTCAACGGGGCCTACACAGATGACCCCGAGGTTCCAGAGCATTTCGAAGCGGAGAACGAGCAGGGCGGGCTGTTGGCTGTCGTCTTTGTCCCTTCCCTTGCCCTTTTCCCTCTCTTTCCCCTTCTCCTTCTCCTTCTCCTTCTCTTTCTCCTTCTCCTTCTCCTTCTCCTTCTCCTTCTCCTTCTCCACTTTTTCCTCCTCCTCCGCCCCGCGCTCCCCGCCCTGTCCAACAGCCTCCGCATTCCCCCGCTCCGCTCTCCCCCGCGCGTCCAGCAGGCGGAGCACCACCGCCAGCGGATGGGGGGAGTCCACAGTGCCGATCAAGTCAGCTGCGCCGATCGCCGCATTCGCTTGCGCCTGCTTCCCTCCCGCGTCACTGACCACCATAACAGTACCCATGGTACCCAGACCATCACCACCGCCGCCACCATTACCGCTGCCACCGTTACCGTCCGCAACAGCAGCGTCAGCGCCAGCACCATCAGCAGCACCGTTACCGTCGCCGTTCCCCACCCCATCACCATTCCCATCACCACCACCACCACCGTCAGCATCAGCAGCAGCGGCAGCAGCAGCAGCACCTGCGCCGTCGTTTTCAGTATCAGACTTTCGCCGCCTCCTCCTCAACCCTTCCTCCTCCTCTTCCTCCCGCTCTCTCTCCGCTTCTCCCTCCTCCCCCTCTTCCTCCTCCCCCATCTGACCCTCCTCACCTCCCAACCTTGCCGCAGCAGCAGAGGCAGCGGCAGCTGCTGCTGCCTCTCTCTCTTCCACCATAGCAGCGAAGGCTTCAGCCTCTCTAACGCTCCCTTCAATCTCCACCTCTATCGCTTCTTCTAATGAGTCCCTCCGGGCAGCTAATTGCGAGTACAAAACGTAGAGAGGCGGAGGGAGGAGGGACGCTAAGCGGTGTTGCTTCACCCGCCGTGAGTGCTGCATCCCCATTTGCTGCTGGAGCGGACCAGATGCCTTTTTCAGGGCTTTCAGCTGCCCGGGAAGGCTGCCCAGAAACTTCTTCCGGCTGCTGATGCTCTCCTGGAGCGTCCGCCGGCGGATTTCAAGCATCTCCCGCGCGCGAACCAGCTCCTTACGCTGGATTGGGAGGAAAAAACGTAGAGTGGTGGTATTCGCACACGATAAAGAGAGTACTGAATACGGATCGAATCAAACGAAGTGAAGTCTGAGCAGATGTTGCAAGTCTGAGCAGATGTTGCAACTCTGAGCAGATGTTGCAAGCCAACCAACTCCTTCCGCAACATTGAGGGTACTACCACAAATTTGTTTCCCCTCGTACTATGTACATATAGGTTCTGCTATATTGTAGATACAGAGCTATATAGAGTAAATTGAATAGAGCAGAACCTATAAGTACATAGTATGGGGGGCAAACAATTAGGGAAGTAAACAAAGAATGGAAGGGCGCTCGAAACGACAAGGGTTAGATCTTTCGTCGCTGGATCGACTCCGTCGAACGTAATATAAACTCGCAGCTGTCGCTAGCGTACCGATATACCAGACTTACCTTTTAGTCCAGCATACCCGGTAAATGAAAACGCACCTGATGGAGCTCGTAGTTGAGTCGTTGCAGCATCAGCCGATGCGGATCCTTTTCCAACCCCGGCTCCGATTTAAGGCTCTCCGGTGCATCCATAAAGAAGTCGTGCGCGCTAACCAGCTCAATGTTCGGGTGCCGCGAAACGAAATCCCTATACGCGGCGATCGATCTCGCGTGGTGGTTCATCTTATATTGAAGATTGTGCAACCGGAGCGCGGTCGTGTCTACAGGAGCTCGCGCCGCTTCGGTCTCCGACTTAACGCGCTCCTCGTCGTTTAGAATCTGACGGTTGAGACGGCGTAGATCCAGGAGGATCACGGATGCCTCTGTTGAAAACTCCTGAATGTCGGCCAGAGCGGCGGAAGCGGTCTCGTTATTAGCTGTCTCGTTACCCCCATCGCTTTCAAGCGCTTTGGTCTGTTTCTGCTTCGTTGAAAGGATATTCGATATAAGCTCCTCGAATTTCGACCGCGCCGAAACGAGCTCATCGTAAGTCGTCGACATTGCAGCAAATGCCAAACGCGCTTCTGCAATACTTTATCTACCGATCTGCGAATGACTCGGCGCCTGGCGAAAACGCCTGATTGCCGATTCTGCAAATGTCTAATCGCCAGTCTGCGAGAGCCTAGTCGCGGGAATCCGAACGTCTGACTGTCGTCCAACGGATTTGAATTGAGATGGCTAGCGGGATAGTTGCGAATGAAACGCACAAAAGGCAGAGTCAGGTCAGGTTGAGCGTGTGGGAAAAAACCGGCTTTCCAGACCCAAGCTGCAACCACAGCATGAGAGTCCCAACTGAAAGGAATGAGTCCGGAGCTCCGGAGTAGGTCAAACAACACGAGCAGCAGAAAAAGGACCGAGACTAGTGAGAAGGGAAGATGGAGGAAGAGGTGGTGTGGTGTAAATCGGGAGTGGAATCCTATGGATCAAACTCTGGTGACAGGACAATCCCTAGGAGCCCTAGAAGATGGCGAGACTGGGAGATTCGATACAGTTTATTGGACATCGTGTACACTGTAGCCAGGTTTCAACTCACCAACAGGTAAGAGTGCCTGGATTTTTACACACACAAAAGCAGTAGTTAGTTGCTGTATGAGACATAACTGGTTAGTGTGAAATCAATTTATACCTCTACCAAGCGTGAGTAACTATATACATTGTTCCATTCAATACGTAACTATTTCAAAACTCGGGTCCAGATGCAAAGATGTCGACTAATCCGCGAAAGACTTGAGCAGAGAGCTTAGAGGCGACCACCAACTCCCCATCCACGTTCCATGTGCTTTGCTTCCCGTGAGATGTGAACATGAAGGCAGGGGTCTAATGATGAAGAACATATGGGGTACGAACGGGGGTGTAGAGGGGAGAAAATGGGGGGAAGTGTGATGGGAAGGTGCACAAGATAGGATTGGACAACTCTTGAGAACCTTCTCAGACATCACAAGAAAACACTAATATTCTATAATTTTCCAGTAATACCTTGTATGTCTCCACAAAGTCAAAGGCGAATGGATCGGCCCCTTTGCGGGCGAGACGATTCAGCTGACTGTCATTGGGTATAGGATATGGGAGATGGGAGGTTGGGGAACGCGAGGAAATAAAAAATCAGAAGGTAAAAGCAGGAAGTAATCAAACATAAGCAATCTCTTCAAGAAACATGTTGAAGATACATCGCAAATGAAGAACAAAGAAATGCGGGAGCTTATTGCAGGTACTCAGTCCGAGAGCACTTGCGATTTTCCAGGCACTTCAAAAGTAGACACCTCATAACAAAGGATAGTGGGAGGAGCTTACTGCAGGTATTCGGGGCGAGAGCACTTGCGGATGAGGATGAGATGCAGATTGCCGTCCGCCAGGTGGGCCTGTGCCGCGACGCCATCTGGCGCCTTGTCATTGCGACACGACATCACTGCCGCCCCCACGCTGTGGAACTTTCCTCGCACCGTCCTCCAACAGGGCCTCAGCCCCTCGCCCTGCCCTTCTGTCCCTCCCAGAGCATGTCCAGCTCCTCCCCTCTGCTGCCCCTTCTCTGATACCGCCTCCTGCCCAACCAGAAGCACAGGTGCTGATGTGGCAGCACCCGATTGGTTGTGAAGGGCCTGGGTCGGGTCGAGAGCTGAGCTGTCCAGAGTCAGTTGGCTGTGGGAGGAGCGAGCGAGTTGTGAGAGGTCGGTGCTGCTGGCGCACACAGTGCATCCTGCGGTGCACATATCTGGGAAGCTGCTGCGCCTGCTGCTGCTGCTGATCCGCCTGCTGCTTGTGCTGGTGCTGATACACGAGGGACAAGGAAGAAAACAATGAAAACGGATGAGCAACCATTCACTCGTTCTCGCATTCAGAGAAAACTGCCACTGGGAGAGGAGCGAGCGAGTTGTGAGAGGTCTGTGCTGCTGGCGCACACAGTGCATTCTGCAGTGCACATGTCTGGGAAGCTGCTGCGCCTGCTGCTGCTCATGCTGCGCCTGCTGCTTGTGCTGGTGCTGAACATAGGAGTCATTTACGAGGCACACGGAATAAAATAATGGAAACTTTTGGATCAAAATTGATCACTGCTGTTGATCCAAGACCACACACTTTGAAAAAACCCACTCAAGCAGCCTTTCACTCAATCTAGGCACTTAAAAAAACTCACTCCCAATCCTGCACATACTCATCAACCAATCATAACTCCCTCTCTAATCTCTCTTCCCCCTCAATCCCTCTCCCTCTCACCGTGTCTTCACCAGCATGGGACTGCTGAAGGTGCGGCGCCGCAGCTTTCCATTCCACTCCACAGCCTGCAGCGGCATCCCTTCATCCTCTCCCTTCCCCTCTCCATCCTCTCCCAATCCCTCTCCTCCCACCTGTCCCTCCTCCCCACCCTCCTCCACCACCTCCTCCACCACCTCCCCAACCTCCTCCTCTTCATCCTCCTCGTCCAGTCCGGGCGTTCTAGGAAGCTGCTCCGTGAAGCTCCGTTCTAGCCCCCTCACCGGCCCCGGTTCCAGTGGTGATGCGAGAACGCCTTGAGATGGGGATTCTCCCAACACTGCTGCTGCTGGGACTGCAGATGCTTCCGACCCTGCTGCTGCGAATGGGGATGCGTCCAACCCTGCTGCTTGGACAGGGGATGCTTGGATTGCAGGTCTTGGGACTGGCCCAGCAGAGGAGTGCACATCAAAGTAGGACACCTCAGCATCGTACGACCTGGGGATGGGTGGGGGAGACTGGGTAGGGAGAGGGGTGAGCCTCCGTGCACCCTGCTGGTGCTGTTGACCGGGTGCTCCTGGGGCTGCCCCAGTAGGTGAGTGCAGAGGAGTGCACGTCAAAGTATGACACCTCAGCATCGTACGACCTGATGGCGCGTGGGCGAGACTGGGTAGGGAGAGGGGTGAGCCTCCGTGCACCCTGCTTGTGCTGTTGAGTCTTGACTGGGCGGCGTTCCTGAGGCTGCCCTAGCAGAGGAGTGCACGTCATCAAAGTATGACACCTCAGCATCGTACGAATCTGATGGCGGGTGGGGTGGATGGGATGGCATTGAGCGAGGATAAAGTATGTTACACAGAGGAAGGGGTGGGGGGTGGGGTCAAGGAGAACACCCAGCAGAGGAGTGCACGTCAAAGCAGGACACCTCAGCATCGTACGATCTGATGGCGGGTGGGGTGGATGGGATGGCATTGAGCGAGGTCGGTGTAAGATACACAGAGGAAGGTGTGGGGGTGGGGTCAAGGAGAACACCCAGCAGAGGAGTGCACGTCAAATTATGACACCTCAGCATCATAGGATCTGATGGCGGGTGGAGGGGATGGAATAGGCAGAGGGGGGATGGGAAGAGGAAGGGATGGGATAAGCAGAGGAGCGAGAGGCAGAGGAAGGGGTGGGATATGCAGAGGAGGATAAGCAAAGGGGATGGGCTATGCACATATGGGCCAAGGAGGCTGAATGTGGACAAACAGGGAGGACATAGGCAGAGTCGGATTGACTTGCATTGCTTATCTCGCAACCACACACCTCATTCTAGAATGTTCAGCCACATTACATCTCACTACACCGCACTTCACCGCAGTGCACTAACCTGTGGTGCAGGTACGTCATGAGCCCAGCATAGTCGTATCTAGCTGGCCCCATCCATCTGAGCCCCTCGCTGCGGCGAATCACATCGCCGTAGAATCCGTAGCTGGATGAGGGAAAGGAAAGAGAACCAGAAGCAGAAGAAGACAAAAGAGGAACAAGGCAACATGGAAGAAGATAGGAGCACAAAATGGATTGAGGAGGAGGCGATGCTCTGAACTCAACCACATTACACCACACCACACCACACCCCACCCCACCCCACCCCAACATCACATCACACACACACACGCACCCAAAGAAGGAGGCTGCATAGCGGACCTCCACACCCTCTTTCTCCTCCTCCTCCTCTTCTGCCTTTGCCTTATCCCCTTCTGTTTCCCTCCCAGCTCGGCCTGCCATCGCTCTCCCATCCCCAGCCGCATCTCCCTCTCTCACATGCTCCTCGTCTCCGTCACCCCCCTCCTCCCTGCCTCCACTGCCCCCATTTTCTTCACCCATTTCTGCCTGCTGCCCCTCTTTCCATTGCCCCTGTGCCTCTGTGGAAATATGCTGTGTCCCTTTCTCCTCCGCTGATTGCCCGACTTCCTTCCCTGAGCGCTCGTCCTCCTGCCCGGGCTGCTCGCCTTCCTTCCAGGTGGTGATTCTCGCCACGTCCAGAGGCATGCGGTGCCCCAGAACCACGTGCAGCGCTGCAGTGGTGGGGTCGCGTGAGCCTGTCACACTGGGACGGGGAGGAGGGCGGATTGGACGCATGGAGAAGATGGCGGCACGGGGGGAAAGATGGGGGAAGGTTGGCGGCATGTGGTACCAGGTGCCCCAGAACACATGCAGTGCTGCGGTGGTGGGGTCACGCGAGCCTGTCACACTGGGACGGGGAGGAAGGTGGGATGCGGGGGATTGGAGAGATGGTGGCATGGGGGAAAAGATGGGAAACACTTAAAGCATGCGGTACCCCAGAACCACATGCAGCGCTGCGGTGGTGGGGTCACGCGAGCCTGTGACACTGGAATGGAGGGTGGAATTGGGCACATGGGGAGGAGATGGGGGGCCCCTAAGAGGCATGCGGTGCCCCAGAACCACGTGCACCGCTGCAGTGGTGGGGTCACGCAAGTGAGCCTGTGACACTGGAATGGAGGGTGGGATTGGGCACATGGGGGGGAGATGGTGGCACTGGGGGATAGATGGGGGGCACTAAGTGGCATGCGGTGGCCCAGAACCACGTGCAGTGCTGCGGTGGTGGGGTCACGCGAGCCTGTCACACTGGAGAGTGACAGGCAGCATGTGGATTGGGCGGATGGGAAAGATGATGGCGTTGTTTTTTTTAGACGCCTCAAAATTCGTCTGCAGTGGTGGGGTCACGCGAGCCTGTCACACTGGAGAGAGTAGGGTGGGGATTGGATTGGGCGAGGTGACTTTTGAGTCGACTCAAAAGTCAGCCTGTCACACTGGAGAGTAGGGTGGGGATTGGGCGGATGGGAAAGATGATGGCGTTGGGGGGAAATTTAGGGAACGTTTGGCAGCATGTGGTGGTGCCCCGGAATCACGTGCAGAGCTGCGGGTTGTGCAAGCCTGTGTATCACACTGCGGTGGGGAGAGGGGGGGGGGGGGGAGGGGGGGTGATTGGGCGCATAATGGTATGGCATAATGGCATTGGTAGGCTGTGAAGCATGCGGATAGGGGAGATGGTGGCATTGGTAGGCTGGGCTGGGGAGTGAGTGAGCGGATGGGGGAGATGCCGGCATGGGGGGAAAGATAGTGCCATCCGCACCTCATGATGATGCAGTCCGTAGACCCGGCAGGGATGATGCCAATGCGCAGAGCGTGTGGCAGATGGAGCCCCACCTTCACACACTCAGCTGTCCCTGGCTCTGCCCCTGCTCCTAACTGTGTGTCTGGCTCAATTGTCCCTTCGACCGCATTCCCACACCCCCTAGCTTCATCCCTTTCTCCATCCTCCTCGCTGCTCTGCCCTCCATCACTCCGTGCTCCCAGATTTGCAAACAGACCCTCAGTTGCAGCAGCGGTCACATCATCGGTAGCAGCAACAGCAGCAACAGGAGGGGCAGCAGCAGCGCCACCAGTAGGAACAGCACCACCAGCATCATCTCTAGACTCATCACCAGCCGCACCACGTGGCAGTGGCAGTGCTTCATCTCTAGACTCTTCCAGCAGCACCCGTTTGACCTGACTGCTATTGCTGCTGCCTTGCCGATTCTCTGCTTCTGCCCCTGCTACTGCCGGTGCTGGCTCTGTCGCTGCTGCTGCTGCTGATGCGCCAAGCCTTTGCGGCGAGGAGGAGGAGGCGGAGGAGGAGAAGGAGAGGCGCAAGGGACGAGCGAGCAACCAGAAGGGAGACCGTGAGGTGACAGAGTGAGACGTTGAAGTGGGTGGGGATGACTTAACAGAGGATGGAGTAGCAGAGGAACGAGCAGCAGGCGAGGCAGTAGAGGCGAGTGGGGGTGGTGTGGAAGAGAGAGGGGAGGAGGGAGGGAGGGAGAGGCGTGCAGAGGAGAGGCGAGAGGGGTGGATGCATGGGGGGGCGTGGTGCCGCCTCTTGGCTAGCCCGTTCAACACCTCGTTAAACAAACCGTCGCCACCCTGTTGGGGGTGGGCGGGAGGAGTGGGAGTGGGACGGGCGGGAGGAGAATGGAGAGGGGTGGATGCATGGGGGGGCGTGGTGGCGCCTCTTGGCTAGCCCGTTCAGCACCTCGTTAAACAAGCCGTCGCCACCCTGTTGGGAGAGGGACGGGCGGGAGGTGAATAGAGAAGGATTAGACATCTTGGAGTGCGCAGGGTTGTATTGGAGTGCATTGGAGTGTATTGAAGTCCGTCCATCCATCCATCCCTCATCCGTCCATCCGTCTGTCCATCCATCGACCCACTTACCCACCCACCCACCCACCCACGCATTCACACATCCACTCACCCACGCATTCACACATCCACCCATCCACGCACTCACCACTACCAGAATGCCATCAACGGCTGAGATCTCCTCATCAGTCGCCCCATACACGGCATCAAAGGCGTGGTTCTGCCGCTGTGTTACCACCTCAGTAACCGAGCTGCACGGGCGTCCACCTGTCAGCAGCCTTCCGGAAAGTATGGATGGCCAGACGATGCAGCTGCAGGTATTACGAGAATTAACGGGAAACGAGGGAGAGAGGGAAAAGCAGAAGGTATTTGCCTGAAAGGTATGGCGGGGGAAAAAGGGAGAAGGACGGTTGGCCCAATGATAAACGTCAAGCAGAACATACAAGGAACGATCTTGAAAACAATCTGTAACTCACTCTAGCTGCTGGGCCTAAGAGGCTCCCTTTTACCACCGCCTCGTGCAGTGCAGCCTCTCCTCCTCTCCACTGCGTAGATCATGAGAATCTGTAACTCACTCTGGCTGCTGATCCCAGGAGGCTCCCTTTCACCACCGCCTCGTGCAACCTCTCCACGGCGTAGGTCTCCGCCACAGAAGTGTTGTGAGTCGACCCAAAACACACCTACAATCGTGAGACTCTGTACCGTACTCTACCTGCTGGTCCCACTCACTCTAGCTGTTGGTCCCAGAAGGCTCCCTTTCACCACGGCCTCGTCCAATCTCTCCACTGCGTAGATCTCCGCCACGGAAACGCGTTTCGCCCTTCCGGACGCCTCCCTATGCGGGCTCCCCGCCTTGACTTGTGCGGCCTGGCCCAGGAAGACAGGCAACGGGGATTAAGGTTGAGGCGCGTGACAAAAAACGCGTCTCCCCCTTACAGACGCGTCCTCTGAGGGCTTCCCGCCTTGCCTTGTTCGGCCTGGCCCAGACAGGCAAATAAGAGATGGCCAAAAGGGAAAAGTACGAAATCGCGAAAGCGAGTTGAGGGGTATTTGGAGAGTGACGGAACAGATAGTGCCGTGTAAAGCAGGATGCGATCATTCGTCAACCAGAGCAAGAGCGTTAGTAATTGACGATCAAACGTGGGTGAATCTGACGTTATGCATCCATTAGCAGTACTTACACGGAAAATCTGACTGTAACGTACCGTGTCCCATTTCAGATTGCACTACCGAATCGACGGCTGGGTGTGAGAAGCTGGAAGCTCCGACGTCTAAATTCTAAAGAGTGTCTAGCCAATGTGATTTTGTGCTTTGTCAGACGATGGCTGCATACGATACGATTATGTAACTGACGCTTGAAGTCTCAGCTGCTACCTTGTCCGGCGATGGTTCCATACGAGATGACCATGTAACTGACGCCTGACTAAATTTCGAAAATCTCAGCTGCTACCTTGTCAGATGACGGCTTGGTACGGCGCCAGACGACGGCGTTCTCGAGGAGCACGACACGAAAGTCGCCGGAATTCGGAATCAGAAAGTCGTCTTCAAGCAACTTGCGAGAGCTACTACCATGGTTCTCCGCAACGCTTGTCCGAGGCTCTTCGCCGTTTTCCATTTCTCGCTTGCCACAAAAGAATCGAGTCTTAGCCGGAGTAGGTGTGAAGGCAGGGGCTCACAGAGATGAAATCTCTGGTGCACCGACTGAGTGAATGCACTATCAACGAAGTCTCTAGCTCTCCAAGCCTAGAATTATCTTCCTTGGTTTCAGCAAGTCTCCATTGTCAAGCAGCAGAATGACAGAAGTTCGACATGAATGGAACGACATGGAATGGAACGACATTCTCAAGGCAGCCAACAACGAGCAGCAGGCGAAAGGGCGACATTTCCCGGGCCAATATCACCAGTACTCAGATTATGCCAGGCACGGTTTGCACTTGAACTCAACCGACAAAAGCGTTGTTTCACTAAATGTTCTGTCTCATTTCTTTTACAGCACACAACAAAACTGAAACATTTCTCCACCAGCACCTCACCCACACATACCCCTGGAAAGGCAAATCCAGCAAATATAAAACCCGTATAGAACCTGGACAAACTTGGGAAAGTCAACCCTAAACACGTGAAGGCGTTGTCAGAAGTAGTAGGAGTACGGCCTAGGCTTAGTAGCCTAGGCCACAGTAGGACTAGTAACGAGGAGCCAAGTACGAGCTAGGAATGTGTGTAGGAACAGAATTGAGAAGGAATGATTGAACTAGCAAGCAGCAGGATACAAATGGCAAACCCTAAGGGGCTGTACTCACTATAGAGTACCCCACTGCAGGCTACACAAACAACATATTCTGACACACCCCCATAGCCAAAGTGGGGTGTAATCAGCACAATGAGCAGTCATAGCAATAGTTCATAATTATCAGCAAAGCTAGCGGCTATCACAGAGGGCAAGTGAGGAGGAGGAGGGACTATGAAAGGAGAGAAGATGGGAGGCGACGACTGAAGCTGCAGACACACGGGCAACAGAAGCGGCTGACACAGTGGCTACCGAGACAGAGCGCCCCGGAATACTGGAGTAACTGGCTCTGCGGCTACGACGAGCGGCAGAAGCAACGGACCCACGGGCGACTGGTGCAGCAGGCTCTCAGTGGCTACCGAGACAGTGCGTCCCGGAATACAGGAGTAACAGGCTCTGCGGCTGCGACGAGCGGCAGGAGCAACGGACCCACGGGCAACAGGTGCAGCAGGCTCTCTGAGCTACCAGGACAGTGCGCCCCGGACTACAGGTGCTGCGGACGACAAGTCAGCAGCCTCCACTCAACCTCCCCCAACAGTCCCACACCCCTCTCACACACCCCCTGTTTCACCCCTAGCTCCATTCCCACATCACCCCCCTAGTGCCACTCCCCACGACTCCCACACCTCCACCCCCCTCAGCGGCAGCTGCAGCAGTGGGAGACGAAAAAGGAGGAGGGGAGAACCCACACCTCTCACCCCCATGCTCGCCACCCCACACCCTAACCACCGCGGAACGCACGGTGGAATGGGAGCAATGGGCAGCACGCGGGGGGGGGGGGGGGGGGGGGGGGGGGGGGGGGGGGGGGGACGAGACGAGCTTCTGCAGGGGCGGCTGCTGCAGTTGCGGCCTGCTCCAGGGGCGGCTGCTGCAAGTGTGGGCTGCTCCAGGAGCGGCTGCTGCAGGTGCGGGCTGCTCTAGGGGCGGCTGCTGCACTGGCGGGCGGCTCCAGGGGCGGCTGCTGCAGGTGCGGGCGGCTCCAGGGGCTGCTGCTGCAGTGGCGGGCGGCTCCAGGGGCGGCCGCGGGGGGGGAAAACGCACGGCCCCCAGGGCGCCCCGAGGGGCGACGAGAAGGGAGCCGCGCGGCCCCCCCCGGGGCGCCGCGACGGGCACCAGGGAGGGCGCCGCGACGGGCCCCCAGAGCCACCTCGACGGGCGACGGGGAGGGCGCCGCGCGGGCCCCCCGAAGTCGCCTCGACGGGCGACGGGGAGGGCCGCGCACGGCCCCCGAAGTCGCCACGACGGGCGACGGGGAGGGCGCCGCGCACGGCCCCCGAAGTCGCCTCGACGGGCGACGGGAGGGGACCGCGCGCGGCCCCCGTGGTCGCCACGACGGGCGACTGGTGGGGAGGCCGCGCGGGCCCCCAAGGTCGTCTCGACGGGCGACGGGAGGGGAGGCCGCGCGGGTCCCCGAGGTCGCCTCGACGGGCGACGGGGGGGGAGGCCGCGCGGGTCCCCGAGAGCGCCTCGACGGGCGCTTCGACGGGAGGGGACCGCGGAGGCCCCCCCAAGGGCACCACGACGGGTGCCACGGAAGGGAAAACCGCCAGGCGCCCCGAGCGCGCGGCGGGCAGAAATTAGGGTTTCGCCGCCGCGCACCACGGGGCGCGCGGCGGACAGTACGACAGCGGAAGCGGGTGGTGGGCCCATACACAGGAAGGCGGTAGACATGCCGCCCTCTGATACCATGTCAGAAGTAGTAGGAGTACGGCCTAGGCTTAGTAGCCTAGGCCACAGTAGGACTAGTAACGAGGAGCCAAGTACGAGCTAGGAATGTGTGTAGGAACAGAATTGAGAAGGAATGATTGAACTAGCAAGCAGCAGGATACAAATGGCAAACCCTAAGGGGCTGTACTCACTATAGAGTACCCCACTGCAGGCTACACAAACACATATTCTGACAGGCGTCCAGTGTTTAGAATTCCCAATTTGCTTACGTTCCCCAATCGTGTGCCTATGCAAGGGCGATCAAATTAAAAACTATATTAATTCTATTCTCAGCATATCATTTTTAGTGCATTCATGTTGGGAAGAGTAAATACTAAAACCTATTATTATTTTCGCGAATTTAGGGTTGGCATTTCAATGAAATTTATTTAGGGTTGTTAGTAGTTTTTTCGGTAATCTTGTTTTGTTTCTGTCACATCGCAAAAGTGTGATTCGCGTGGAAAGTGTGATTGAAGGGCGAGATCCTATCGGCGATGAAAATTTGCCGGTTGAGTACAGATGCAAACTGTGCCTAGTATAGTTTGGGTATTGATTATGTCGGCCCACATTTACCTCCAGACCCTGTTTGTGATTGGCTCCTTCGTCCGTGAATTCCCAAGTTTCGCAAATCCCGGTTTAATTTATGACAGCACAAGGGCGCGTTCCTAGCTTCGGGTCATCCGGTGTTCGTGTAATCCGAAATTGTGGTAGCCAATTGGAAAACCCGCGGTTCGAACTTTGGGTTTTTCGATTGGATCCCACAATTTCGGATGACTTGAAGACGGGATGACCCGAAGCTAGGAATGCGCCCTTAGTGTTCACTTCGCAAAGCCAGCTTCTTTTGCGACAGGCTTTGGTGTTCTCTTCTCAAAGTAAATCCTTACATTTATTCTAATATCATCATCCTTATTTTCTCATTGTAAGAAAAAAATCCGGATTCCTTACCGCGCACCACAACAACGCGTACAATACCCAGCCGTTCTTTTGCCTGTTACTACTTAACGGTGTTCGCCACTCCGCGCATCATTCTTGCCAAACCTCAAACTGTTGGACTTGGCCGAGTCGGCCTACACTTCGATACCATCCCGAGCCTCGATGTCAGCTGTCAAGATAACGTAGCGGAATGACGTGAACTAGCAATGGATGGGATACAAATGTGCAATCCTGAAGGAGTTGTACTCTCTAGAGAGCATCTCAGAGTAGCCTATAATTTGACACATCCCCAAAGGCTAGGTGAGGGGCATCACACGTGCAAGAGAAACAACAACTCATGCCAAATCAACTAGTCCAACCACTGAGACAGGTGGTCACAAGACC